CTGTTGATTGTGTCGCCTGAGTCTTCTTCATGATCTTCTCCAATTCACCTTTACGTTATTTTAATAATTTCTCATTTATTTATCCATTTTTTGTAATATTATTGTTAATTAATTTAGATGATGTCAGCTAGCCGAGGTATTGCCCGACCTTTAAGCTCAGCCATTAACTCTGCCCAATTCTCCAACAATTCATCAGTCCTTTTCCAAGAGAAGAAAGCTCAAAGCTTCTCTGCTCTTTCTGCCCTTTCTGCAATCAGACCAATCCACACTAGTTCAATTAGGAATGATATTGATTCTGCTGCTAAGTTTATCGATCCTGGAGCACATACTGTTGGTGTTGCCGGTTCAGGGGCTGGAATTGGTTCAGTCTTCGGAAGTTTAATTATTGGTTACGCTCGTAATCCATCATTGAAGGCACAACTTTTCCAATATGCTATCCTTGGATTTGCTCTTTCTGAAGCTATGGGTCTCTTCTGTCTTATGATGGCCTTTTTAATTCTTTTTGCTTTTTAAGCACCTGATTCAACAAAAATTGGCTTAGCTTACCTTAAAGTTTACAATCACACTCGATTCAGATTGTAGTAATAGTATTGTTTCGATTCCATTTGTTCTATATGTATTGGTTGTATCAATGAATTTAATGTAACAACAGTTTTGGAAACGAAATTAAAATTATGGACCGGTGATTATTGTTTCATTCAACATTTTAATTATAAATTTGTGATTTGTTAATTTACATTTCTCTGTTGCAGAAATGACCTTTAAACCTCGAATCCATTTGGTCAGGTCATTGCGCTTGAGGTAATAACGGTCAAGAGTATGGAAAGCAGAAATATTGAAAAATGTTTACCAGCAATCAATCATCTATCAATTATCTTGACCATAAATTGAAAAATGATAAAACATCTCACAATTTCTCTGTTTCCATAAATTCTCTCAGTCTTGTCTCTTTTTTTACATCATAACATTAACAAGGGATGTGAATTTCTAGAATTCAGGTTAAAACATTACAAATTAATATTAACAGTTAATTAACATCTACTTGTGTTATCTCGAAAAAACGACTAATCAATAAAATGGAGGACTAATAATACATGTCTGAAGTCAGATTTAAGGATTTACATATTGGTTGATGAACAAATAAAGATTAAGTTTGCAAATTGTTTGCATATTAAAACTAGCATATAATCGTGGTTAAGCATGCAAGTAGTTGATGAAACAAAGCATTCTGTAAGGGAAGAAATGAATTAAATGTCCATTTATAAATTAACCAATATGAAATTGTCAATCTGACTAAATGCGACCAGAATAGTCATTAGCGGATGATGAATTTACATCATTAGCTTCTGTTAGAAAGGTTTTGGAATTGGGATTCTGGTAATGTTAACATTGGAAGAAATATCAATTATAATAATAATATCAGTTGAGTTGATCAAATTATGCTGTACAGGTAAATATGATTATATGGTAAAAGGTTTGAAGCGAATAAAATCATAAATTTGTTGAAGTTAGACAAAACTGTTGAGCTAATGAGCCAGTGTCTAACTTTCAATTTGTTTCGTTTGGCACTCAAGTCACCGATGATGATAAGGGATAAACAGGAAACGTTGAATTTTATAAGAATCTGAGTTTCCCAATTTTCATCTCCCAAGTCATCAATAACAGTTGATCAGTATAATGATAAAAACGGATGAAAAGTAAGAAAAGGATGTGAAATTGAGATAGAATCTGAATAACTTATTAAGGTATTGGTAATATTATTTTACCCTTTTCAATGTTGGGCACCATTTGATTAATTGTTAATTACCAATCGTATTCGTTGGCATGTCACAGCTATCTAATGATAACTTTTTCCGGACTTGACTAATTTTGATCAGTTTCGTTATCAAAGTAAACTTATTAAGTAGTTTTTGTATCAGCCATGGATATGATTTATGCCTGATTGGTTATGAGAAATAGTAAGTGGAAAGACATGGTTTTCCATGAGTAATAAGAAGAAGAAGAGAAAGGATCTGGAGAGATGATGAATTTCGATTATGCTCATCCTGAAGTGAGATAGCACATTGAGCCATATCGAAGATTATGAAGGAAGGAAAAAGGAATGAAAATGTTTCTTATTCAAGTCAAGAATAATCTTCTTTTCCCATTCCGAAAGCTGGAATAAAATCACCATGAGCATGAATTGGATGAGGAAAACCATATCCAGGGATCGGCATTCCAGGTATACCGTTGCCTGGAGTTTGCATGATAATTTGACTGCCCATATCATCCATACCAGTTCGTCGCACCGGTCTGGTGCTTCCATAGCAGCAGATAACATGTTTCAATTCACGCATTAACTCCACAAAAATATGATCCTAAAAATTGTAAATATGAATTATTATAAAATGATAGCCTCTGTTGGATAATAAATGTAAACTTACTCTTTCGCCTCTTGGTATTTGTTTCATTTTCCAGATAAACTCAAATATGCATATTATTACAGCACACACGGAACCGATAGCGAGTACAACAAAAACACCACCGACGTTGGCTAAGCCAAGTTCACTTGCTGCTCCAGCAGCCTTTTGAGTACCATCTTTAGGTCCACATTTTTTCTGACTCCACCATTTTTCCTTAATTGCTTGAAGAATGCCCTTTTCTTGAAGGGCTAGAATGGTGTCAGAAATGATTCCTCTGTATGGTGAATCGGGTGGAGTAGCAATACCATAGCCTTTAGAGTCAAGTAAACCACCGACTTGATAAAGGTCACACTCTCTTTCTACAATGTACTCGATGCTAGTTGACTCCATTAAATAAGCATAATCACCTTTTTTCACCCGTTCAACACCTTTATCATTACTTTCAACAAACACACTGGGTCTTGTTGATTCCATGAAAGACCACATTCTTGCGTATGTTGAAAAATTTGAGTTCTAGATGGGATAAATGCATTTAAAGATGGGTCAAAGTTAGGTTTTACAAAAGCAAATCACAAGTGATTCGTTCGTACTTACTTTGAAAAAAGCTTGTGTTGACCCTGACATAAGGCATCCATAATGGATTTTAGTTTGTTTAGCCAAATCTTCGACGCTCTCTATCGGGTTGACCATTCTCTCAACTGTCAAAAAGGCAGCCAGGTTAGCGGTGTACGATGATACCAATATAAGAATGAAAAACCACCAAGAAGCGGCGAGAACTCTCGTTGATAGTGCTCGAGGCATCACATCACAGCCTTGTTGCATCAGGCAACCAATTGTGAACCAAAGAGTATTTTTCATCGTGAAATTGTTCTCCAGGTCTTCGGGTGTTTTTATACAAGGGTGTGGATTAATCCATTCATAAGGTGAAAATCGAGCAATCACAAAGAGAAACAAAGTAACACCAAGGAAAGCAGTTAATAAATAAATCCACACTTCAATAGCCAAAGGAGACATGAAACTGAATAAGCGAGGAGGCTCCTTTTTGGGTTTCCGAAAAAGAATACCAATTCCAAGGTTCATAAATGGCATGGTAAAGTCTACAGCGGATTCACGTTCATAAGTAATCGTTAAATCAGCCACAGCAATGTCAGCTTTCTGTTTAGAGTCAAGAGAAAGTTAAACAATTAGCGCTTATCATCAATGTCTTAGATCGCAAATGAATGCTCGAAGTTATACTTACACCATCAATTAATTCGCGAATCATTCCATTCCATTCGCCTTTCTCGTTTCGCCGACCATAAGCTCGATCCTCAACCAAACGGATAACATATTTAAACTGAAGTCTTTTTGCAATCTCATTCATTAAATCAATGCAATAACCTTCAAATCGATCGTTTCCAGTCAATCCTTTCTTCTCATAATCTTCAACAAACATTGTATAAGGTCGACCCTGTTTGCAAATGGACATTGTATAAGGAAAAGAGTTTTTATTCAACCAGAAAGATTAATATTTGCTGAAAATATAACTAAAAAGACTCAATCAACACAATTGTAACATTTATGCACAAATTGACAGAGTTACTCCAAAACAAATGATCAAAAACGGGTAAAAATAAATTTCTTTCAACTTTCAACCCGTTAGTTTGTAGAGTCGTAAAAACTGCGTTTATCGGTGCGATTAACAAATCTCTCTGATCAATATTTCTCGAGAAAATCGAAGTCAAAGTTGAAACTTCGATCGCAATTTGTACAGTTATGTGACCATATTTTTTCATGAAACTCATATTCGCATTACCAGGTTTTGATGGCCAATCTTAGGATGAACTTATTTTGAGAATAAACATTTTCTGTTTTCTGTAAAAGAGATAAGTTCGATTTTGGCCTAAACGTGTCGCATTTGCTGACCGTAAGATTTAGAGATCTGTAAGTTACTATTGGTCCATAAAAATTAATTGCACAAATCATGAAGCAAATATTTTTTCCAATCCATCGATAGTTCTCTTGATTTCGGCCATTGACCTAAAAACTTTGGACCTCGATATTTCGAGAATGGTGGCACCTATAATCAACATTCTTTAACCAAACGATAGATTGTATTATGTGCTGCAATATAATATGACTGAATATTGAATAAAATTCAAGTTGATTCATTTAAGCATGAATATCCTTCTGACACATGAGATTTGTGATAAGAAAACCAGATAACAAGCACAAATCTGGTAACATAAAAATACAATGCTATAACTTTTTTCGTGTGATCTTGAATGATTTCATATTTCAGTATATTGTAACGCATGATGCAGACTAATTTTTGGTCGAACAATGGTGATTGTAGATGCCACCAGTTTCGAAATATCGATGTTCAAAGTTTTTAGGTCAATGGCCAAAAGCAAGAGAACTATTGATCAATCAGAAAAACCATTAGGTTCCTGGTGTGTGTGCACAATTTTTATGCTCTGAAAATCTGTTTCATGTCTCTAACTAAAATGGACATTGAATGCGACAAGTTTAAGCGAAAATCGAACCTGATCTGTTTTACAGAAACAGAAAACTTTTTTTCTTCAAATAAGTGCATTTTCTGGTTAATAATCAAAATATCAATCAGGAAAATGAAGTTTCATGAAAAAATATGGTCACATAATTGTACAAATTGCGATCGAAGTTTCAACTTTGACTTCGATTTTCTCGAGAAATATTGATCAGAGAGATTTGTTAATCGCACCGATGGACGCAGTTTTTATAACTCTACAGACTAACAGAGTCGAAAGTTGACAGAAGTTTATTTTTACCCGTTTTTTACCATTTGTTTTGGAGTAACTCCGTCAATTTGTGCATAAATGTTACAATTGTGTTGATTGTGTCTTTTTAGTATTAAATGTTTTTAATAACAAGCTAAATATCTTATACTTACAGGAAATGTTGTCACTACAAGTGTTTTATTTTTAAGAGTCGCTTTCAATATTTCTTCCATTGTTTTACTGTAGTTACCAATGAATTGAACTCGCTTTTCTGATGTCCATTCTCCAACCTAAATCGAAAGATTTCATGATTCGTCAAACAAATGGACAAACATTTCATCATGTATCATCTTACCTCTTTTAGACCTTCATTTGTGAGTTCAATTAATTTAAGCCTGACATCAGTTCTCAATCCATTACGATCAAATTTAATGTCCCCAGTAAGACCTCTTACAGTTATCTAACAGAAAAAATTAATAGTTTGTATTGAAAAATAAATCTCCGATTTCAATGAAAGCTCATCTTAACTTACCATTCTCATATAATTTGTTAAGGTTATTCCATACTGCCATGGTTCTTCATTTTCACATGATAAAGCATTCATGTTAATGGTTTTACTTCGATCTAGATCATGTAAAGCTTTAGCCAAAAGCTTCACAGAATCATACATAAGTGCAACTTCAGTCTGAGAAAAAAAGAAACACATAACACCATTAAAATCGTGATCATGTGGACACTTTAAATTTCTAATCGATTATGATAGACATCGCGATGTACTTACCGTAAAGTTCTGCAGTAGTGAGGCCTGAATTAAAATGTCGAGGTTGATAAAAATAAAAAAGGCAATCAGTTATCAACATCGTAATTGGTTGTTTCGATGCGTTGATACTCACTCTAGATATAAATGGGTCCTCTTCGAGCCAGTTTGTTCTTGTTACTGGAACTGACGATTGCCATTCTCTGATGATTTCCTTAAAATCAGTTGATGATCGATCGATTAAGCAAAAGGAAGAGATATTTGTACCAGCATATTGAAAGTCTTCCAGATCGACTGTTTGTAGGTCAAGTGAGGTGAAAATATAATCATGGTATTCGGACAACATGTCAACTTGTTGAGCATGGCGTAAAACCTCGTGAATGTTTTCCCTGGGCACATCAACAATTAAATTTTTAATGTTTAACTTGTTAACTTCTTTAAATATTGTTCGATATTCATCAGTTTCGAACTGTCGGACAACCATCTTCTTTTCTCGTAAAACCTCATCTTTTAAAATCTCTTCCAGTCTCACTAAGGCTGTAAAACAAACGGTAAAATGATGAGATGATTAACGATATTGTAATTAGTAAGTTGAAGACAAATTAAGTGATAGATGAATTGCTAACCTTCATTTTCTTGGTATAAAATGGCAAAGTTTTTCCAATTTTTCATCCTGATCAAGTCCCTTATTGCTTCGCCAAATACTTTTGGATGTGGATGAAGGTTGATTGAATGGTTTGCTGCTACAGATCTGAAATCTAATCGAGTTTCCATATGAGGAATGTGGAGTTGATCACAAGTTGATTGAATGTGTGTTGAAGTCTCAACTGATTGTGGGCCGAATATTGCTGCAATTCCTTGTTCAAATAGACCACAAGCTGCGAAAGTGAAGACAAAAATTGAATAAAACATCAACCATTGACAGATTACTTTCATTAGCTTATTTTGAAGCTTGAAAGCTGGAGAAAACATTGAATGGACAAACAGCAAAAGTTGACTTACCTTTTTTAGATGCCGAGAAGCTATCACTTTTCTCAACCTTTTCAACTTGAGCGAGTAACCGTGATCTTGGAATTAATTTACCATCGCTGTTGATTCGATCAACTGCACTTTTAAAGGCCATTTCCATGGGATCATCTCCTACCTCGAATAGACCACCTTATGGGATAAACAAGAAACACATTAGTGGGAAGTCAATCAAGCAAATGCTACTTGAGTATACGTTAAACTAGATAATTTCAATATAATATCTTTATTCCTATCAAGCATAATCAATAGCTATTAAAAACTATGAATATTCAATGCTTAGACTATCAGATCTAAAAGTCCGTTAAGGCTTAAGGAATCGTTTTTCAGAAACAAGACAATGTGTTGCAAATTGATATGGAATTGGATGTTATGATATCGAATAAAAATCTTATTGTTTCAATTTTAAGAGTAAATCGATAATAGACTCAATTACTATGGATAAGTCTTGAGGTTTTCAATTTCTTGTTAAAACCCAAGACCAACACTTGATGGTCAAATTAAATTGTTTACGCTCTAGTATTAACGATGATTAAGGTATAACTATCACTTACCTATTCTTAAAATTTCAGGCAAAGCGTTTATAAAATTTAAGTTGACCGTAAGAAGTAGAAAAGTTAAAATTTGAATTAACCAAGTTGACTCCATGGCTATCGGAAATTACTGTGATTATTAAATGGTTTGGAAGCTTGGATGTGTTATTTCAAAATTCAATGTAGACGTTATTATTAATATTATTAGTTGTAATGTTGATTGTAAGATATTGCCAATGAGTGGTAACAATTTTCAATTACTTTAAAAAACGACAGATAAATCAATGGTTTGTTAATTTCAAAGATAAACTGTACATTGAATCCATTGCAATTGATTGAAACACGTTCAATTACACAATTAGTATACACATTTTACAAGCACTGTTTCAACTGAATGTTCAACACTGTTGTGAATCTTGAATGCTACTAATCACCATGATAGTCAGGATAAACAATAAGCAGGTAAGATAATTTAAGATGTGAAAGGTGATTCCGATGGAAAAGATGTTTGTAATGATGTTGGTTAACCAGATGCATAGTTAATACAAAATCAAAATATCTTAATTGCTTGGTTATCGACAATAACCTTCATTACTTACTGTGTTGACACGAAAGGCAAGGATATAAGACAAAAAAGTCAAGATGAAGACTAAAAGGCAAAAACTAAAGCGTCAAATTATACAAAGATAATCAATTAACCAAGTCGATTTTTAGTTAATCACTATTGGAGTGAAAATGTTTAAAAGAAGGGAGAAAAAGGTGAAACAAATAAATGATAATTGGATGATTAAACAAATGGATACGGTAAATTAAAATAAAAAATGAACAAGAATAAGAACAATAATAATATTGTTATTGAGCATCAGGCAAAGATGATAATGAAGAGGATGAGGAGGAGGTGGATGAGAAAAAAACAATCTTTGATCAAAAGGGAATGGACTTGTTCAGCTTCTCTGATTCTTTTACTCGGCGTTTGCTCTTCACCGAATCATTTCGCATCTTCATCTTCATCTTCATGTTTCTATAGGAACAACATCTCTTAAGCATCTCAATGGAATGCTTGGAGGAGGATGAAGAGATGGTGTAAAGATGAAAAATATTGATCCATGGACAGTCACTCAGTTTTGGGTTTTCACTGCATCCATACAACATAAATTGATTCAATCTTTTCATTGAGTTTAACATTTAGAGTTGTCTATTTGTTCAAGGTTTTAGATTAAATTTAATTGTTTCAACAGGTTAATATTGACTTGGTTAATTTGGTTATTGGACTCTTTCATATTGATAGCTAACAAAATTATCCTAAATTGTAGTAAGAAATGTATTTAGGCTTTGATATATTTTAATTTTGGATTTTTTATTTTATTGCCGATTTGATTTAAAAAAATTATAAGATTTTATCAATCACTAAATAGATTAATCAACAAATTGCCGATTTAATGATGTTTTTTTTAAATAAATAGTAAATCTTTTCATTTTATCCAATTTTTGGTTTGTTTTTATTTTATCGGTATACGGTAATGTAAACAGTTCATTTATGAATGTTTTGAAAAGTAACAATATAAATCAAAATTATGAATGTTTGATAAAGATTAAGTTTTCAATTAGAGTAATTGAGAAAAAGTAATTAGCATTAAACGATTGGAATTTCCATGCATCTCTAGTTAATCAGTTTTGTAAAATTTGCTTCTGGTCCATAAAGTTTCAGGTACAGTTGATTGTTCGTTTTTTTTTCGTTGCTTAAACCAAAATTATTTAATGAAAGTTAGAGCTGATGAGACGCTAGTTGATGAAATAAATGGCGAAAGGTTCCCAAGGTTTGACTAGGCGAGAGTGTAACGAAACATTGACCTGAGTTTATTATACGAAATTGAGACGGGAAAATATTAGCCTCTATTTGAGGCAATTTTTTAAATTCCAATGACTCAAAGAATATGCTATCATTGTTCATAGGCATCAGCAATAATGAGGTAATTGAGAACATCAACATGAGTAATAATTCCAGCTACTTTTACCTCTGAAGGAGAGATTTGGTCAACAATGACAACATATGATTGCGATTTAAGAAGAGTTGTGAGTGAACCAAGTGTTTCATTGCGGTCAATGGATGGAAATACTTTGGTCATAATTGTTTCAACTGGATCGTCGACTGTAGCTGCTCCTCCGACAAGACTTTTCATAGTTGCAGAAACAGTAACCATTCCTTTGAGATAACCAGAAGAATCAACAACAGGCATTTGGTCGATACCCTGAGTTTTCATGGTGGAAATGGCTTCGTTTATTTTACTATTTAGGTTAATTGTGATTAATCCAGCGCCAACTGATAAACTGTCGATAGCTAAATCCCAGAACCAAGGTTTCTGTTGCTCCTGTGCTTTGAGTAAACTTTCAGTAAGGAAACCTCTTTCAGCCATCCAATGGTCATCAAGGAATTTGGTCATGTAATTTCGAACACTATCGGGTAAAATGACAACACAAGTTTGATCCTCTCGTAATCTTTTAGCGACTTTCATGGCTGCAGCCATAGCACTGCCAGAAGATCCTCCACAAAGTAGTCCTTCTTTTGCGATCAACTCACGAGCCATGATGAGGGATTCCTTATCTCCTGTTTTGATCCACTCATCTATTATACTTCGATCAAGAACAGTTGGAATGAAATCATATCCTATACCTTCAACTTCATAAAATGTAGTACTAGTTTCGTTGATGGAATCTGGCTGAGCCAAAATAGAACCATAAGGATCAACCCCAACAACTGTACAATTAGGCACTGCTTCTTTAAATTTACGCCCGATCCCAGCAATGGTTCCTCCAGTTCCAGCACCAAGAACTACCATGTCTACCTTATTATCACATTGATCAAGAATTTCGGCAGCAGTCCCATCATAATGGGCCAGAGGATTGGACGGATTCACGTACTGATCAAGAATCATTGATTTAGGAATTGAACGACATAATTTTTGAGCTACCGATACATGCGAATCAGGTGAATCAAAACTTGCTGATGTTGGAGTACGAATAACCTCAGCTCCTAAAGCTCGAAGGACATTAGCTTTCTCTGTAGACATCTTTTCTGGCATAACAATGATACATCTATAACCTTTGACAGCAGCAGCAAGAGCCAAGCCAATACCCGTATTTCCTATTTAAAGAGAGTAAAAAATCAAGATATTAGCCAGACAAAACATGATTCATAAAAAATAAACATGAGACCATAGTTGAAAAGGTAGACAGTTTGATTTCTCATGACGAATAGATCAATAATTTTCACTTGAATGACATAAATGTTGGTTTTAATAGAGCCATTTGTATTTACTTCTGAATAGAAAAAAATCTAAACTGTTTAAGATTACCTGAGGTAGGTTCAATCAATGTCCAACCAGGTTCGATTATGCCTTTTTGCTCGGCATCTTCAATCATTCTTAAAGCAATCCGGTCTTTAACACTTCCTCCTGGATTGAAAAATTCACATTTAGCAAGAACCTGGCATTTAACGCCATAGTTAGCTGGAATTTTGTTTAATCGAATCAGAGGCGTATTACCAATATGATTTAGAACATTTGGACAGACTGGAGCTCGTATCGGTCGATGATGGGGATGCGGATCTAGACTTTTATCCGCTTTCAATGACCAAGAACATTTTGATGGATGATCTGGAGGTGGAAATATCGGGCACTCAGTGGCTGACATATTGTGTTGAATAAACTATAAAATTGAAAACCTGAACACTGATATAAGAATGAAAAACAAGGGAAAATAAGTCATACGTAACCTCTATGTACCAAGAAAAAAATAAGACTTACAAAAACAATTTTTTTTCAAACGAAAAGTATCATATAATCAAGATTGAGATAATCTGAAAGAGATAAAGATGATTAAAGTGATCTCAGACGATGATAATTGATCAATAAATCATTTCAACAAACAAAAAATTAGATTAGAGATGCATTCGATTAAAAGATAACATAAGGTAGAAATTAAATGAAAAAGCGAGTCAATCACAACTTGTTTTGGTTTACTTCTAGGGGAGGTTATATAATTTCCAAAGGGTTGGAAAATAAAAGTTCGTTGTGCAAAAATCTTTGATATTAATATCTGGTTTAACATTCAACTTTCTTTACAACTTTATGATATCTGAATGGCCCTGTAATTTATCTAGAGGCTGAACTTAATAAAATTAATCAAACATCATCTTCAGAGGCGTATTAAACAACATGTAAGTAAACCAAATCTAAATATAATTGATTGAAAACCGTCATTCTCAAGCATTTTAGTCACATTTACAATTTATGTTTAAATCTTTATATTACTAGTGTCTTTATCTTTATAATATTTAATAGCAGCTTCTGAATCAATTAAAACAGACTTTTCTTTATTTTTCTATTTCTAAGAGTTAGGTATGATTGAATATCAAAAGTCAGTAGCAATCAGTTTAATTCATGAATCATATCTCATCTTGTATCCAGCTGATAAAATACATCAAAATTGACACAATAACAAGCAAACATATTCAACATTATCTAGGCCACCAAGGTCGAGCTCTAACATTGTAAAATAATGGCCATTCATTTTTATCATCATAATAGGTATAAAATGGTGGAGCACGTTTTTGAATGTCCTTTTTCTTCGAATGGGACTTGGGCCTCACAAGATACGCTGATGGTACAGACAGCTTGGAGCTTGAATTATCTCGATATTGATCATCTTTTCGCAATGGGAGATTGAAAAACTTAACCCCAATGAAGCTTGCTACTTGAGGAATTGAATCAACAATTGAAAAGCCAAGCCAGGTTCCAAGAACACTTCCGATGGAAATAATCAGATCTAAAAGAGTCATTTTGGGTTCAATAGAAATGGTGTAAATTGGATCGGAAACTTGTTCTACGGTGATCTCTGTATAATTTCCTTGAATTGGTAATGGAGTGCGACTTAAAGGGAAATAATTAATTTCATAACAATCTGGTTGTGAGGCTATTTGAAGGCATGCTTCGGCAATTTTCGATATTGAATCGAGATAAGTTTCGTTTTGTATATTTTTTTCCAAAATGTACGATCCAAAGGGAGCATCTAATGGTTTATCAACAATACTTGTTGGCAATGGACTACCGATTTTTTGTAAACTCAAATTAATCTCACATTTGTCTTCCATATCGACTCGAGAAAGGTAACCTCTATCACTGTAATTGGCACAATTGGTTGGATAAGGTGGACCCAAACGACGTATTTCAATGTAATAAAAAAAGAAAGTGTGTTTTCTGGCAATATCATAAGCTTCTTGTGATTCCCATTTTATTTTGTTTCCTCTTGGCAATTCACCTCTGGGAATCAAAGAAACCCAATAAAAGTCGATTGTTCTGAAAAAGGATTGAGGTACTTCTAGCGTGAACACCTCTTGAGTGGTCAACTTCTTGTACAAGTCAACTTTTTCAGTTACTATTGGTTCACTTGAGTTATACGCTGATGAACACGTAAATGAATAACAATATTCTTTCTCCATGAAAAAATCATTACTGGAACACGGTAAACGAATGATATCGTCATCGGTTGCTTTGTGGACAAACGCTTTTCGGTAAATCATTGAAGAGTTAACAATTTGCTTCCACAATTGATCAATTTTTAGACGTTCTTGGAAAAAGAAAAGAAGATAATTGTCCGAGACTTTGGCTCGAATGGAATGAATCAGTTCATAGGTTACACGAGTTCCTGGTCTATAACCAAGTTCACCAAGAATCGAAGGATAGTTTAAAAATAATGCAGTATAATTGATGGCATCAAGAATTGGGAAACAAATCGCTATGTCTGGAAGTAAAGTTGACTCTGGATCACCAACATGGCATGTTGTTAAAAGCTCATAAGAAAAGAAACGATATAACAAATAACTTATTTGGACTGTTGCACCAATCATACAAATAATTAGAAATATCTGTTTGTGATTTAATCCAAAGAAATGAAATACTAATGAGAAGCCCATCGACTTGGTGGATTTAGGTATGACTTGGGTTCACTCAGCTAACAAATAACGCTAATATTTGTTTATTATGCTACTTTATTTTTTGGACCGCTGAAAACAAAAGATAAATCAACATTTGTTTATCGGCTTACATATTTTTACCTTTAGTTTTTTATACCAAATGCCAGATTTTTCTTGGACCAATTCTGAACCAGCAGTTATTTTTATTACAGATATCGATTGTATAATGGATAGTTTCAATGGCCCATGAGAAAATGTCTTTTCTAAAACACAGCTAAACACAAACATTCAGCTATTAATATATATATTTTGTATTTTTAAACTGCAAAGCTATCAATTTTGATGATTAAATGGTTGACTAAATCAATTTGGGACCCTACTTCATAATTAAATGATATTATTAAATACTATTATGCTGTTGAGTTGAAGTATTACAGACCAATGTTTTTACATGTTCAAATACATTTCCATACTTATTAGACTCTATGGTTAAACTAATACGATTTACACAAAGCGATTGATTGTGCAATCAATCAAGGTTAAAAATGATGAGTTGATTACCTTGATCATAGAATGGTTTTCATTAAATTAATCATTCAGTTAACCTTGATGATGCGTAAATATTGATTGGATTGGTATTACTGAACAATCGAGTTTTTAAAACACCCTGAAGATTGATTATCAAGTGATATAAATTGTTCTTATAATAACTTCAATATTAATATCACATGGAAGTTGTCGCTTCACCATTAACAGGTGGTTAGAGGGATATGCCATGAATCTAAAGTTGTATCCACAAAGATTATGAATAACTATTAATATGATAATGAAAATAACTTCAAAATATTATAAAGGGTTCAACACTTATTTCATTGCAAATGAAGGAGGTAACAAGAAAGTTGATCTTACGTTAATCACTTGTGATATTGATTAAGATAATAATGGAGATTATGATCAGATTTGGTTTAGTTTTCATTGTCTCTTTTCATTCATTATCATCCTAATCATTGATTAGTAATCAATATCAAAAAATTTTGTGATTAACATAAGATTATTTTTTTTGTTTTCACCTTCATTTGCAAGGAATCAAGTTTTACTTCCTTTAACATTACAATAATCTCTGGCACTGCTCTAAGGATTGGTTCCTAAAGAGCTGATATATCGTTAGTACCAGTATAAATACTTATTGCGAATACTGAAGGATAGGTTGTGTCAGAGGCTCCAGCTTTTGTCAGTGATGTTGCGTACTCAGAAAGTGTTACATCGTAACAAATATCAAGACCAAGTTTACCGATAGGAGTTTCAAGAGGTGATGCTTATCTCTCTCCTGGAACTGTAAATTCAGTTTCAACAGTAAACATGTTATCAGGTTTGTATCAGTATCAAGAAAGCACCAAGACGAGTTTTACGTTTTAAGTTGAACCAATTTATCCCGAGTTATTGATGACAACAAAAGTGCTGGCCCTTTATCCTCTAGAAAAAAATTAAAGCGGAAAGTTATTATTGTATAAGATGAATCAACCTTTGTCTTTACCAAAATAATCTCGTTTTTCATGAAAACTGTCGGGTGAAAGCCAGATATTGCAAGATTGTGCCAAATCTCGATATTAACAATTATTGGGCAATCAATAGATTCCCGACAATTTTTGATATCCTTCTGCATTGCCTTAATCACATCGTCATTTTAAGGTAAAAAGGCCGTTGAACTTCCATGCGAAAAAGCTTCACGAATCAACTTTTCACTCATACGATAGTTTTCATCTTTGTCAGCTGAACGACAGCAATTATTTTTTGCTATCAGGATCGCCATTTGTTGTTGTTTCATCAAGAGATCTAACTTATTGGATCAATGTCGAGATGAGAAATGACTCACGATTCAAGTTATCGATGAGGGGAATTCACATGGAAACATTTTTCCATCAATATAAACAAACTGGACTGGGATCAGAGATGAAAAGCAAAAAAGGACAAAAAACTGGGCAATATTTTCAACTATTGTTGACTATGATTTGTAACATTAATTAGAGTTGTGAAGCACAAAGAAACAAGTAGATCATTTGAAAGTTACTTGATTATGAAACTTATTCACAATCACAAGAGCTGATAAAATTTCGAATGACCGTAATTTTTTGGATAGTTTTACTCCGCTCAACATAAACCTTCGATTGATATATGGTTCGAGCTCGATAATATAATAGATACATTGTTACATTTTTTTGTGATAATCTAGTTATCAAAGATTTACGACTCTTTGTATTAAATATTACATGTACAATAATACATTTATAATAATTTACATTATTAATAAATTGAATCTAATTTGTTGGATGAACATGATGTGTTACAATCTTTGAATCTATTGAAAATAAACTGAAAGGCTCAGAAACAAAGAGTATAGCTCTTTGCTTAGAACCCAATCTTAAATCATTAAATCACTCAAACGCTTCACAATTTTATACTGAATTTAGTGAAACAATACTTTCTTTCTCAGAAATATCATTTATATTGAATCTGATTCTAGATTCTGGAAGAGCTAGAGATTGACTTGGCAGAATCATACCTAATAGAAATCGGATTCCGTTAGCAGTATCTGCAAAGATTATTAACCACCAGATCCAAATATGATGGTCTAAAATGAGTATTGAATCGCCCTGATATTAATCAGATTTCTTTTCATACTCCGATCATCTAGCCTAGTTAACGTTTATTCACTAACGCCTAACGTCACGTTTAACGGCACTTTGAATCATAAACATCGGCGATTTAATACTAATATTTTAAGTACTTTTCGTGCGGCATTTGTTGGAAAAAATAAAATCACTTTAACTTGTTACCAATCATTGCTCCAATTAAATTATCAAAGACAGCTGTGTGAATTTAACGAGAAATTGAGTCACAACACTAATATTAAATGTCATAGACTCATGAGCAAATATTTTTGCATTTCTCTATATGCAAATTTTTGAAAATTCATCACTCTGAATATCCAATAAGCTTGAAATTAGCAAAAAACAAGATTCTAATACATTCTTTTTTATAGTTGGAAGACACACATGCAAAAAATGTTTGATTAGTTTTGCACTATGCCCTTTAAGGGATTTTATTGACTTCGTCTGTGCTAAGACAAACAACATTCATTCCTACTGATAATATGAATCATAATTTAACCAGATACACCAAATTATGCTCAAAATTTAGTATATAAACTGCCTGAAATTTGAGAACATTATAAGTTCATATATATTTGAATATAATACAAGATAAAACAACTAAAATGAAAATAAGTTTGATAACTTTGTGCTTAGCTTTGACAGCTTTCGCAGCTTTCAATGCTGTAGAAGCTAATAGCTTATCGAGATGGAGCCTAAACACTAATGCTGGTATCGGTAGCTTATTTGGACTACTAGGATACGGTAAAAAATCGACTGAGGCAAAATCTGGAAGTAGTGCTAGCTCTAGTTCTGGTTCAAAGTCTAACTCTGCTACATCAGCATCGAACAATACAACATCAACTACCAATGCAACAGGATCGTCAGCTCCTTCAGGTTCAACAAGATCCGAAACATCAGGAGCAGCTTCAGGTTCATCAGGATCATCTGCAGCATCAGGACAAGGATCAGGTTCATCAGGTTCAGGATCATCTGGTTCAGGTTCATCAGGAGCATCTTCAAGTTCAGCAGCAGCATCAGCAGCAGCAGCTTCAGATTCATCATCAGGACCAACATCAACCGGTAACTCAGGTAACTCAGCATCATCAGGATCAGGATCCGGATCATCATCAGCAGCTTCATCAGGAGCAGCTTCAGGTTCATCAGGATCATCTGCAGCATCAGGACAAGGATCAGGTTCATCAGGTTCAGGATCATCTGGTTCAGGTTCATCAGGAGCATCTTCAGGATCAGCAGCATCAGCAGCCTCAGGTTCATCAGCAGCAGCAGCTTCAGACTCATCATCTGCACCAGCAGCATCATCAACTAATGGATCAGGATCATCATCAGCAGCTTCAAGTTCAGCAGCAGCATCAGCAGCAGCAGCTTCAGATTCATCATCAGGACCAACATCAACCGGTAACTCAGGTAACTCAGCATCATCAGGATCAGGATCCGGATCATCATCAGCAGCTTCATCAGGAGCAGCTTCAGGTTCATCAGGATCATCTGCAGCATCAGGACAAGGATCAGGTTCATCAGGTTCAGGATCATCTGGTTCAGGTTCATCAGGAGCATCTTCAGGATCAGCAGCATCAGCAGCCTCAGGTTCATCAGCAGCAGCAGCTTCAGACTCATCATCTGCACCAGCAGCATCATCAACTAATGGATCAGGATCATCATCAGCAGCTTCAAGTTCAGCATCAGGACCACCATCAACCGGTAACTCAGGTAACTCAGGATCATCATCAGCAGCTTCAAGTTCAGCATCAGCAGGATCAAGTCAAAGATCAGTTCACAGCTCCAAATCAATCGTATCACGCTATATCAATGGGTCTGGGCAAAACTGTGTTTGTTATAATTGAGTTCTTGATTTTTGATGTTAGAAAATCTAAAAATGATATTTGTGATCAAATGTACTGATTTTCTTTATCTTTATGAATTAGCAATAAACTTTTCGTAAAAAATTTGATCGCATTCACTTCGTTACAAATGAATATGAGTCGTAAATTATAAGCTTAGTAGTGTAATCGCACTAAATTAGAACGATAGATTTGCAAAACGATAGTATCATGAAGTCTTACATCACTTCATCAGGCGATTTTTAATAATTATTTGCGATGTTTGCCAAAACTGATAACTAGTCAGATTTTGATTTTTTTGATAAGATTTCTTAAAAGCAAAAAGGTTAGTGACAGCGGAGTTGGGTCATTTCAGCGAAAAGCATTTGAGCGAAGGTCAACTGAGCAAAAGGCAACTGGGCAAAATTCACTTGAGCGGGAATTCTGTATAAAAATTTTGAGCTAATTAGTTTGAATAAACTGATTAAATATCAAAGTTTTAAGGCCCATGGCCAAAATCAAGAGATCTCTAACTATATTATAAAAATTTGGTAGAAAAATCTAGACCTTTCATTTTGCAAACGTTTAATTTTTTAATAGTTATTTTTCGCCTGATATTAGTCAAAAAATCTTACACTTTTACTGAAAGGAGTGATTTTCAAGGTTTGAATTATTCGCTATCGCTTTTAAATCATTTACATAACTTCTAAAGTTGACATGATTCCGGCCAATTTAAAGTGTTCTACCTTTTTGCTATATTTTAGAAAATAGGAATTTTCTTAGGTCATGGAAACAAGTTTAATTTATGCTCTCGTAGCGAAGTAACGCTCGAAGTTTAACAAATGTTTCATGTTTTTAATAATTATCTAAAGCCTGTTGTTGAAACCTCCATAAGTTAATTGATTGATTGAAGAGCTGGAGTCCATTGATTAGAGGTTTTCAAAATACTTAAATTAGTGTAATCAATAATAGTTGTTAACAACTTTCATGAACACACTGAATTTTGCAGATAGAAAGTTTCATTCTGATTTCAATAATGCTGTTCTAAACTTGTGGCTTTATTGCACTTTGAATGTTTTACTTCTGAAAGTTTAAGCACAAGTCGAAAGACCACATAAATTGACAGCAATTATAATTTTGCGATAATTTTCTTGGTGCAACATAAGCAGCATGAGAAGATTAAATTAACAATATTTTGATAAACTTTATGAATATAAATAATTTCAATAAATTGAAAATTAAATCCAATTTACTATTGAATTAAATAAATGTGATAATTTAAATAAAACTCAAAAATGAATATAATTATCTTGTAAACCATTTGCGGCCTACTGTAGATAGGAAAAAAAATTACAAAAGTTTAAGTATCAGATTTTGATGATTATCTACATTCGAATCAATGAGTTCTCATGAAAATGAATTGATTATACTCAAAGGGTAAATAAAGGATTAAACATAATGAGGATTTTTCTACAAAGCTAAACCAGGATTTTCATATTCCATGTCAGCAGGATTATCATGATCGCCTTTATAATCGGGTGAATGATGGTCATGATCATGTTCTCGATGCTTATGCTTATGTTTATGCTTGTGTTTCTTCTTCTTCTTCTTTTTATCTTTATGTGGTTTCGATGATCCTCCTTCTTCTCTATCTTTGTCTCTGTCTTTATCTTTTTTCTCTTTTTTCTTTTCACTTCTTTCACTTTTCTCTGGTTTCTCATATTTTTCTCGGCTTTCAACCTCCATAAGTCTTTCTCTGTCCACTGGTTCAGGTAAAGGAATAGGAGTGGAAACCATTTCATTGGAAAGGGCACTTGAAGGTGGTGTAAAGGCAATATCGTCATTATTTTGATCAATCATTGATAATACCAATGGTGAAGATTCTTTAGGAGATAACTGTGAAGATGGATTAGTTGGTGTTGGAGGTCGTAAACTTAATTGAATATCACTAGGATCAGAGATTATATCTTCTTCAGATATTTTAGTCTCCGATAAGCCTAAACTCGGTTCAGGGTTATCCTCCTAAAGTAAAAAGAATAGATTAACAAATTAGAAATTGTAATATTTTTAAAAAAACAATCGAATCAAAATAATAAAAGATAAAGATCAACTAAAGATTTTACCTCACTAATATGCGATCCTTCGGCTGATAATCGTCTCTTTTTATTGGATAAAAATTCTTCGTTGACTGGTCTTTTGAGAGCGATGATTTGCGAAAAAGTATCCAAAGGTTCACTTTCAGTATGTTTTTCATCTCTATTTGATTGCTGTAAATTGATTTAAGAAAAAGATATTGGAGAATTTCTCTGTCTTTTTTTAACAATATCTCAAAACTTACCGAAGGTGACATTGATAAAGCCGTACTGATTACCGCTTTTTTTTCTTTCAAATTAAGAACCATGGAAAACTGAAAAACATAGATAATAGAATTAAAAACATGAAGCACAAATTGATTGAAATAAAATTTAAAATACCTCAGGTTTAGGCAAGCATGAAGGCCTTGAGCGTCCATAGAAAGTGTAATACAGATCTACAACGGCACATCTGAGTTTAGAATCGTGGTACAGACAATTGTTCATCAGTCTCCAAAGCCTTTCGACAATGTCCTCTGTATTCAATGGGCTATGAGCATCTTTTTTGGTTATTGGTGGATTTTCAATCATTAATCGTATTGTGAGATGTTTAACTTTGGGAACAGGATCATGTTCAATAATGTCTAGTAAAAAGTCAAGATCTTCTTTACGCTGTTCCACTTTAGCGATATCGATGAGGCATTCAATGGCTGCAATCCGTAAGTCAATAAAAACACCATATTGAGCATATTCTCGATAAAAGGATGAATTACTCGGCAAATGGCCCATTTTCTGTAAATGACGTATGGCTTTTAGACAAGAGACAGTAACTGTAAGCTTATAACATGGTAGTAGTTTGTCCAGATTGAAATATCTCACAATTTCTTCCAAGATAAGTTTAGTTTCTTGAGGCAATGATTCAGCTTGAGGTTGTAAACTGGTTCTTGCTAAAACTGCAGATACACAAGGCGTGACAGAGGCGGCTAAAGCATCAATCAATGCAGATCGATAGTAATTGTCAGAAAATTTGTTTTTGCTGTTATCATTATATTTGAACAAGTCCAGTATGAACCTAAGAACTTCTGGTGGGCAAATTTTATGAGCTGATCGAAGACCAGCCATAGAAACGGGTAATGTTTTTTGGAGAAAATACAACTGAAAGTTGGAAAAGTTATTCAACTTTGGTATTTGTGGACATGAAAATGAACCATAAAGTTTTCTGAACACATTTATCATGACTGCTGGTGCAGGAGGACCAGCTGCTTGGGTAACCATGTCATTGGCAACGTTAGTTAAGGCCATGGCTGCCATACACCTTATTTTATAAAAACAGTGCTCATTTCCGATAATATCCATTAGAGATTTTCTTGTAGCTTCAGTTGGATAACGTTTTAGTTGTTCGATAGCTTCTGCTTGAGCTGTTACATCACGCTCATAACGTAATTGAAATTGCCAATTGGTATCAGGTTGTTCAAAAACAACTTGTCTAAGAAGTTGCATGTCTGGATCAATCCTTATCCATAAAACGGGTGAATCGGCATCCATATTCGAAAGATCCATATCAACTTCTTCTCCGGTACAAAGAGGAATTTTTTTCTTTTTATTTCGGCGACTTTTAGAATGACAGGTTATATCATGTTTAGTTGTATTTTCTTCCACTTGAAGATTGTGTTTGAAAGTTCCATCCAGTTCTTGTATCCAAACTGTAATCGGACCCTGAGATAAAGAATTAATAAAATTAATAAGTAGAAAAATAAATACAAGTATGTGATGATTTACAAGAATAAGATTGTTGATATTTTACCATATATTTTCTTATTCCGAGGGATGTTACTTCTAATTGTTTAATCTCAAGCTCAACAATGTTACGTTTTCGATTGAAATTAAAACTTCCATGAAATTTAGGGTGGCCACCAACACGCACCCATTGACTAAGGAATGTCTCGATATCTTTACCGGTAACGTTGAAAATAACTTTCGTAAAGCTACTAGTAGAAATCTGTATATTAGTCCAAGCCATAAGTGTGTTTGCAGTAATTTTCTGTTGGGATGCATTAATTGCTAGAGAAAGTAGTTTGTTGAAGACTTGAAGCATAAGTTCTCGACCAATTCTATCTTCAAGCATACGTATAATTAAATGAGACTTTTTACGATGAATTTCATCATATAGAGGAGAAATAGTGTGAGGATAACGATAAGAAAAGTACAATGCATTTGAATTTTCCGAATCGGATGTGTTGAAGGGATCGAGAATAACTCCACCGTGTTTTTGTTCATAGGCAACAACTTCATTAAGCTCACGATGAACATCAAAACGATATTCGTTGTTACCAAAAGCTTTCTTTTTATACTGAGAGCTTAAATGGGCAGATATACCACGAGTCAACCATGCATCTGAATAATCATTCATAGTGATGAAAGTTCCAAAAAATTGTCTGGCTACAGCAGAAGCAAGAATGTCTCGAGTTTGGTAAGTTTGGTCAATTATGTGCTTGGAATGGAGAAGATTAACATCTAATATACTCATAGAAGCATAGGATAAGCAATCAGCATATGCTTCATCAACGAAAACTTGTTTGTAACAAGAGTATGGGTACCTAGTTGACAAAAGTTCCTCGTAAAATTCAAAGACTTCATGCAAAAAAGAACAAGTAGCTTGCAGAAGAGATCGTAAATGAGGTAGACAAAAATGCGTGACTTCATGCATATTTGGATCAACCATAACTTCAAATGGACCAACAGCTAACCCGATTGCAGGAGCACAAGTAGGAACATTCAGTTGATAATGATAAGTTTTTCTCTTTTTGTCATGAGTGTAAATTGTATCGACCAAGTCACCACATGAGACAGCAATCATAGAGGCGTCAACTGTAAACTCGAGTTTCCAAGAACAAGGTTCACTGTAAGAGTCAACAGAAGGGAACCAAAGACGAGAACTGTTTTCATGGCCATAAGTAAACATATGAGTTGCAGTAACATTGTAATTAGGATCTTCTATAGTTCTTGGTACCGCAAAATGAACCCCTCCAAGTGGTGTTTCAGCTCCAAATTCTATACTTATTCTAAGAATTCTTCCTTCTTGAACGTAATTTAAGAGCTGGTAAGGAACTTGAATTATAATTTCACCATTATTCTTTTCAGGGTCAGTTGAGCCAATACATGTTAAATGTGCTGATGAAAAGGCATCAATGTTCCGTTGTTTGCATTCTTCTTGACAAATCTCTAGACTAGGATCATTGTAGGTAAATGTACATTGGTGGTAGTCATTCATATTAATCTTGAAGATCCTCAATTGTTTACAGTTTATTTTGATCTGTCGCAAGCTGCTATCCTGGGCAATCACATGAAGCTCAACCATCCCAATGTAAGATTGCCGTTCAAAGTTGATATTGCTAATACAGAGCAACTGATGAACCCTGGAAAAATAGTATTTGTATTTAGTATTGATTAAAAAGACAGATATGAAGTCATGAAACATAGAGCATAAATTAGATACTTACAGTTTATATGGTCTATTGTGCTCCTTGGTAATCATTTTGATCACCTAAATTATTAAACTAAACCAACTATAATTACATTAATTGAACAAATTAAACATAAATATTCTAGAATTGATTTTGAAATTCACACAATCGCGGCGTAAAGGGGAGATTGTTTAATAATAAAGCGGCAATTTTTTTGCGCCTCATTCAAATCTCTTTTCTTGTATTTCTTTCACTTACTCTTAACATCTGCGATTATTGTTTATTTTTTAATGTTTTCTTTGGTTAATTTATGATCTATTAAATGTCTCAATCAAATGATATGGATAATTTATCTATCCAGGAAGATAAATCTCCGCTAGATCTCCAACAAGAGGACCGGGAAAAGATGCAGTAAGTCTGATTTTAATACTCGCCTCTGTTTTATGCAAAATTGGTTGTACATTTACTCTTTAAAACATCAGTCATCTGATTTTTCTTGGTTTGTTTTTTTGCAGAGTTCTAGTATCAAATTTTAGTGAAGAACAACTGAATCGATATGAAATGTATAGAAGAGCATCCTTTTCAAAAGCACCTATAAAACGTTTGATTCAATCTATCGCTGGAAGTTCAGTATCTCAGAATGTTGTCATTGCTATTTCTGGTGTTGCTAAAGTTTTTGCCGGTGAAGTTGTTGAAGGAGCCTTGGATGTTATGGAAGAACTAGGAGAAACTGGACCCGTGAAGCCCAAGCATCTTCGAGAATCTGTTAGACGGTTGAGATCCAAAAAATAGTTCAAATTACATTGTAATATCTAGCTTCTACATTTTATTATGTCTAATTTAGTCTACATTTGTTTTTTGTTACATTAAATTTTGAATAGATTTTTAACATAATCAGGAGAAACTGAGAAATTTTTAAAATACATTGGATTCCATCCCATTGCTTTGTACTGGAGGGGTGTATCATCTGTTTGGTTCAGTACTCTTGGATGGTTGTGTAAAAATCTGTCAACTGCTGAGGCCAAACTATCCTGTGTCTCATGCATCCAGTTTGAGGCTCGTCGTATAACAGATGGTAAACTTCGAATCATTTCGTAAAAAACAACTCCAAACACAGCGGCACTGATGAAACTAAGCGTTCCTTGATAAAATTGAGGCTCAGCTTCTTGTCTTGACATGGTTCCAGTAGCCAAATATAATTCCTGGATTACCTGAGGTAAAGTCTCGTTAAGAGACTCGATTGTGTAAGCAAAAGCACGATCCATCTCATCAGGTTTATTGACTTCCTCGCCATTCACAATTTTCATCCAATTCTCCAACAAATGACCCGACATACTTTGGGAAACCTTAGTATTGGGCTCTTCACGTCCAGTTAACTCGCCTCTCATCAACATTAATTGACTGGTCAGGTTTGCAACACCACTATAAACTATTTGACGGATTCTGGCAAGTCTTTCTGCTTCCCAATTATTTTCATTTGGACTGGTGGATGAACACAAATGGAAGAAAGCGCAAAGAAATAACACGCTCAATACGTTAATTTTACCGGTCATTTTATTATTTTTATTTTAGTTGAAGCTTGTTGGTACTAATGTAAGTGCACAATGATTGACTTGAATTGATCAAAATTCCAACATTTCTTGTGTACTTATATCATTTTCAAATGACATAGATTGGCATGAAGTTCAATATAATTTCAAAGAGGTTGGTTTATTACCCATGTCGACCGAGTTAACATGTTTACTTGGGAACCTCAATAAAGTTCAGAAATGGCACCAACACCTATGAGAAATGACTATGAATAAATTGTGATAATATGGAAATGATAGTCAACTTGCAATTGTTATTGTACATCGATTGACTGGGTTCACATACGGGTCATTGTATAATCACTTTTACAAGGTCATTACATGATTATTGAGAGCTTTAATGATATGAATGTAATTAAAGTGTGTAGTTTCATTCGATGACAAATAAACTCAATACATATGTTTGATTTCAATTTTACACCTCATTAAAATAGTAAAGAATCATTCATAAAAACAATGAAATCATTTTATTGAAATGTTCAATGGAAACAAATAAGTATTCTAAATGGCTCTTGAAATGCGTATTTAAATTAATTTAGTCCTCTAGTTGATTTTTAAGACTAGTCTTAAATATTTCACCGAATCTGATATAATTTTTGATCTGTAAATCGTTTGATAATTTGAAGATCTAGACCGGTAAATCATAGTTTCAAATTCACATCTATTTCACCAAGAGATAACCAAGAAAACACTGAAAATTAAAGGCTGGAATCATCAAAGATATGAATTTGATTTTGAGCTACACTGAAATAGGTTCGAAATGTTTTTGAACTTAACAATTAAATATTGAAATATAAAAACTTTGAAAAAAACAAAATTCGTACCTTTCCGATACCAGGGGCTGTTGCTAAATAACAAAACTGTTCTCAAAGCAAGACTCTTTAAGGGGTCGGACTAAAAAACCAAAACACAACCAAACTACCAAAACGACCAAAATGAACCAAACTTAACCAAAATTTACCAAAATTTTTGTAAATAAACCAAAATTTACCAAAATCAACCAAAATCATCCCAGATGCGCAGAAAATGCTAAAAATAGTCAAATTTTTCAAATTTTCAAACATAACGACTTTTAACATTTTAAGTAGTTTAAAAGGATTTAAACCGATTTTGGCCACATTTGCTCGCGTTTTTCCTCAAAACAAGTTGTTTTTGTTTATAACTAGTATAATATTTCGTGTTTTTTTGCCAATATTTTACAATTTCTTAAAATGCCATCGCCATCAGCATCAACATCATCAACATCATCGAATGTGGAAAATAATTCAAGTGTAACAATAAAGGTAAGTGAAAATTTGTAACACAAATTACACCCAATTAATACATATCTTTTTATTTTCAGCAAAGTGTTTGGTATCAAGGAGTAGATTTTCCCATAGAATGCAATGAAGGTGCCATTATTGATGGACAAAAATATGGACTGGTCACTGCCAAATATTATGAGGGGATGACATAAAGATCAAAGAAAGAGACGAAGATGTACCTACTGTAAGTGAGCTGTTGAAACTAGCTAAAACTAACGAGAAAAAAGGATTAAATTATAAATGGGGTTGCCCATATTGTAACCAAACTATAAGCCAAAGAAAAGATGTAACTGAACGACATTTCAAAGGACGAAAAGACAAAGGCTCTGTGTGTTCGGAAAGAATGAAATTGTCCCCTACAAAAGCAAACCGTAAACCTTACAAGGTTATTTATGAAATTGATTTTAATAAAGATAAATGAATTAAACATTGTACTTTGCCATTTTTTATTAGTAAATAAAATTTGAATTTTTTTAACCATGTTACATTAAATTATTCTTTGTGAAATATTGATTGGCAATCGCCACAAATGAAATATACTTCACTGCGTTTATTTACGCAATCTTTGTGGAAATAAAGTCTACATTTCACACACATATACATCGGTCTTTTTTCATTTTTAAGAGTGCAAATTTTATACATACATATATGAATTTGTGATAAATCTTTGTGCATTGCTCGCAATAAATTATTAACAGACGCCATTTGTACTTGCATCCTTTGATCCACTGTTGATAGAATGATGTTTTTCTCCAATCTTTTCTTCTTTTTTGGACTTTGGACGGCTTTTGCTCTGCAAATTACATATTTGATGTAGTTTCTAGCAGCTTCCGAGTTTCTAAAAAGATTTACCATAAACTGTGAAATGGACGACCATTGCCGCATATACACCACAATCATAGGGGTTTTCTTGTTGTGGAAAGTCAGATGCAATAATTGCAGTCCAATCGGACTTGCAAAATATAACACCAGAAATTATGTGACAAATTTCAACAAATGAAGCTACTTGGGTTATTATTGTTTCGGGTTCTGATGTAATTGAATCCAACAATAGAATATGCTTGGTTTTGAAATGCACAATAGCAGTTAACCAATGAAAACCCTCCTTGTTATCTGTGTTTATCATAATTATCAGCATCTCTTTGTTAAGCGCTTCATTATTATGTAGATAGACAACTTCCTGTGATTTACAATCTAATTTCTCATCGTTTTCAATACGCAGTGAGTGCATTTGCCATAGGTAGGATGGTATTATCAGTATTTTGTTCTCCATTCTATTGCTTCGAACTATTTCAAATGCGAAATCATTCAGAACATTATCATTCAACCATAAACCTGGACGTAAAGTCGAAACAAGTTTTAGTTTGTTCTCAGGCACTTTGAAGTTTTTTGGAACTTCTTTATCCAAGTAATGAAAGGTTTCAAGAGGTTTTTGTACATCAGTAGGTAAGGACTCTGAATTTGGATTTGAATAGCTTTCAGATATGAGAGCTTCATCAACATCACATGGTTCTTTTTTTACCAATTTTGAAATTTTCGAGTCATCAGCTGCTTCATAAAGAATCTTTACAACCTTTGACGGTTTCCTCCCTGCTTTCTTTTCTTTTAAACCTTTCGAAATTTCTGTCAACTTGAACTTGACTGGAGAACCATGTTCAATGAATTTACCGCCAATCTTTTCAATGGTTCGTATATGGAAACAAGTCTTCTTGCGAGGACAGCTACACTTATAAAAATCTTTATCAGGCACTTTGTAAACGCTATGAACATCACCAGAGTAAGGACATTTGACAGTGAAAACCATATTGTGAGGATCATAGCCAATTAAACGATTTTTCATAGCGATATTTGATAAATATTCAACAGGATCATCCAAATCGAAGCTTTTTGCTGCTTCCATAATCGAAAGAATATTATCAATTATTTCATGGCGTGTTTCAAACTCAAGAGGACAGTTTATGTCTAATTTCTCAACTATTTGGGCGTATTTTTTCTTGATGAAGAACTTTCCTGTATTGTCAATTGCTCTATTGAACTCGATCAGAATTGTTGCCTGGAGCTCAATCAAATGCAAAACCAACATATCAGCTCTTGTTTCTTTAAATTCAATGTAATGTTTAACTATTGCATTGAAAGACTCAGCTATATTCGTTGAAGGATGCGCTAAGTCTTTTTCGAACACAGGAAATCGGTTCACATTGAATTTACAAACTTTTTCTCTAAGATCCTTTTCTATCGACTTCTCAAAGTATATGCGAAAAGTTTCTGACATTTTCATTTTGAATTGTTCCAACATTTCATCGAATATATTTTCGCTGGAAGCACTGGCAAGTTTATCGACCATATCATTATAAATTCCATGATTTCTTGGAGGGAGTCTTTGATTGCTGCACCAAAATTTAATGTCTCTTTGAATATGCAGCTTGCAGTAAACTAAATTGTTGGTCAGCATGACATTCTCTAAAGCTGCTGTTATTGACTTTTCTCTGTCAACGACAATCGGCACAAATTCATTGAAGTTTAACATTTTTGTCGCAAATTCACGCCAAAAAAAGTGTGCACATCGGTGCTTTTTGAAGAATGCAACATCATCAAAACAGGAAAGATTGGATCATCATTAACTTCTGTGTTTCTCATCACAAGAAATGAAACAAAATAATCTGTTAGATTAAAAGTTGTATCGTACGTGATACATTGCCGGGACTGTAAATTCATGTCGTTTTTTAGCAGACGATTTGCTAGTGTTACAGCAGATGGCATACCACATATCACAATCAAATCCGGATAAATGCTGATATACTTTATTATACTATTTAATTCCGTTTTGGCAAGAAGAAACATTGAATATATCTCATCATGGTGTAAACAATTGTTAATTGTCTTTAAAAATTTTATATTCTTTATCTGCTTAGTGTTGCGAGGTAGAATATGTTGATTAACAAATGTCTCTTCTTCTTTGCTTACCGGGCAATCGCTCTCCTTTTTCATTTCTCTTGTAATATTCACGTAATCTTTGCAGGAACTATCACTGAAGTTGAAATTGCGGATCTTGTCGATAGTAGACGGGAGAGTTTTGTAGAATGGCCGGTCTGATTTGGAATTTCCATGCGGTTTCTTCATCACTTTAGAAATATCTCCGGTGTAATATATTAAGCCAATTTTTGCATTTTCGATTGTGTATTTCACTTTCTTGAATGACTTCGTGGTGATCCTGGTTCCTTTTTCGCGTTTTTCTATGGCGTAGAATGTTGTTTCAACTATATTTGTTCCTTTGATTTTGTATTTTCCTGACTGATGCCAGCAATAGCCATCAACATTAATATCTTTATAGTTGCTTTCTTTGAATGCGTAAATCGCGTTAGGCTTGATTTCACTTCGAAAGTTTGTTGGTAGACTATCCACTTCTTCAACATTAATAAACTCTAGAATTTCGCTCACAGTTGGCTCATGATTCAATTCACACAAATATGCCATTGTGACACAAAAATAATAAAATATATAATTAAATCAATTACTATAAACCAAATAAACAATGCAATACACTTTGAAAGAAATTAAATCGTCTGAATCGTATGTTCTATCAGGGTGGTAAAGGGTGGAAATTAGAGTATGGTCCCTCAAATGTGGCGCCATCTAGTTTCAATAAATTTCTCTATTCTGTTTAACTTGAAGGCAAAAGCATAGAAATGTTTAAAGTATATGTATTCGCATATTTGTTTAATTGTTTAATCATTGTCCCTATCCCTAAAGCTATTTATTTAATGAGTTTAGCTCAATTTTGTGCGATTTGAGCCATTTTGGTTAATTTTGGTAAATTTTGGTAAATTTTGGTTAATTTTGGTTTATTTTGGTCGTTTTGGTAGTTTGGTTGTGTTTTGGTTTTTTAGTCCGACCCCTCTTTAAGAGCTTTCTTAAAATGATTACCTCAAGTTTACTGGAACCAAAGCTGTGCTTACTCATTAATTTTACTTTATTTATAAATTGTACATTAATCTTTACGTTGTTTAAGTGAAATCTGATCAACTGAATAATATTGAACACCTTTGATAACCGATTTTATTATGATATCTTCTAATATTCATCACTTTCCATTTGACTTGTTGAAAGATGGTTTATTGAGTTTACCTTTATCCTCTTTGAGTTATTAGTGATCCATTTCCAACAGTTTTACTGCAAAGTTTTATATCTACGATTTCTATTTTCATCAACCATGCTATCGTATCTATTATGTTTTTAAATAAGCTGTTGATAAATCAATTGTGACTCCTTTTAGAGATTTGGGCTTACCATATCCTCGTTCGCGACAGCTTTTTTGACAATGGTTGTCAGTAAGTTGCATCAGCCGTTACTGTAACATAAACATATTTCACCATAATTTGTAAATAGTTGAAATAGCTGGCACCCTAAAATATCGATTGTTTTATTATACAAGAGATCCTATTCTCGTCATTTTAATCTGTTTTTATTCATTTTATACGGATACTCAAATTCTTAGACTAACAACATGACTACTGTGGAGCCAGTAGCTTCAACCTCAGGTTTGAATGGCCAGTCTGAACAGCCTGGTCAACCTGGTCAACCCGGTAAAACCATCAGCCTAATGGCTATTCAGGATAATAAAGCCGGCATGAAAGGATTAGACAAGGAGAAAATCAACCAGCTGCTCTATGAAGCGACTAAAGATACTCTTCATTTTAAGCATGAACAAGAAAGAGACAATCGAATAGATGCACAGATTAAAAAAATGATGAAAGATTGGGAATCATTTACGCACCCATTGAAGCAAAATGCTTTAGAGATGATGGAAAAAGCCCGTGAAAATCGTGGCTATGAAAAGCAAGCTCTTGATATCAGTCAAATCATTGTTCATGTTGACATGGATATGTTTTATGCCGCGGTTGAAATGAGAGATGATCCGAGTCTATGCGATAAACCTATGGCAGTTGGTTCACTACGGATGATTTGTACTTCAAATTACGTTGCTCGTCGTTTTGGAGTACGTTCTGGAATGGCTGGTTTCATTTGTATGAAACTTTGTCCTGATCTAATCATAGTTCCCTGCAATATGCGCAAATATTCCCAAGTCAGCGGTATTATAATGAGCATTCTAAGGCGTTATGATCAAGATCTTTTCGTAATGAGCTGCGATGAAGCTTATCTCAATATTACGACTTATATTATTCAACTATTCCTTAAAGAGAATCCAGATTGGGACGGTCCTGTGATAATTGAAGATCAATTAACGGGTGAAAGAAAGTTAATTCCAGAATGCTGGGATCTAGCTTTTAAAGTTGTTGATGATATTCGAACTCAAATTCTAGAAGCTACTAAATTAACTGCTTCTGCTGGAATCGCAACTACATCTATGTTAGCTAAAATTTGCTCTGATTTAAACAAACCCAATGGACAGTATATGTTACGAGGATCAAGTTTTGAACACATCCAGGATTTTGTAGATAAATTGGACGTCCGTAAAGTAACTGGCATTGGAATGGTACAAGAAAAAATTCTGAAAGCTTTTAATATCAATACTGTTAAGGATATGTGGGAACAGCGTGATGTAATTTATTTGCTGTTTAAGCCGGCCGCTATCGACTTCTATTTAAGAGTTTCCCTCGGCTTAGGATCCATTCATTCAAAGAATGAAGATGAGCCTTTGCGATCTCGTGGCCATGGGTGTTCATTCAAAGCCACCAATGATTTTAACTGGTTAGACAATCAATTAATGCAACTTAGTGAACAACTAGCTGATACTCTTGACGACTATGGTTTAAAAGGAAAAATAGTTGTCCTTCGATTGGAAAAAGATTCATTTGACTCTTTTGTTAGAAGTCGTCGAATACCATTTTTCACATCTGATTGTGCGGTTATTTATCAAACAGCCAAATCAATTCTAAAAGCACAATTATCCTCCGATGGTGTAACTAAATGGAGGGCAATGGGAGTTAGGGTAACTCATCTTAATGTTAATGCAGTTACTTCAGTTGATGAAAAAAAACAAATGACTTTGGATAAGTTTCTTTTCAAAAAATTTGTTCCTTCAAACAAAGATACATCTTTTAATGCTGCCGATACATCTATCAACGATTCATCACAAGAAATTGAATATTGTGACGAGAAATCTCAGGAGGTTACTATTGACGATGAATTTCTTTGCACTTATTGTTCAAAAACATTTAGTGACTATGATGCATTTGAGGAACACGTATCAAGCTGTCAGGAAGCAGATAAACTGGCCTATCTCAGTCAAACAACTATCGAAACTATTGAGGTCGAATCCGATGAAGATGCCGATGAATACATCTGTACAAACTGTGATAAAAATTTTCTAGATTATAATGAATTTGAACAACATCTAGCAATTTGCCTGGAGGATAAGTTCAGCGACGATGAAAGTCCTCAAGATATTTTAAAAGAAGAAGTACCTAACTCAATTGAACACATTTCTGTCAAAATTTCAGAAATCACCTCAACTAAAGGCTGTCATAAATATCAGAACGAAGATGAAGATATCGAATCAAGTCAAAGATTGCCCAAGATGATAAAACTTTGAAATTTTAAATTTACTCGTTTTTTGCGAATCATTTTATAGCTTAGCCTGCCTGTTTATATCCTAATTGTTAGAGATGAATTCCATAGCATTTAAGGTTCACAGAATCTAACTTCAAAAATTTTGACCTGCTTATGCTCTAATCAATTGTACTTCATCTCACATAAGTGTGATTATTACACTCTATTTATGTAAAGTTTTAATCGATCAATTCAATTGCATTTCTACTTTTAACGAATGAACGAATATTTCAAAATAAATCATTTTACGATTTTTAAACGACATTATTCACTTGTTAGATAAATTCACTGTTAAAACCATTCTCGATTTTGTTAATTGTTAGGGGCTGTTGATAAATAACAAACTTACTATGCCCCTAAGAGATTTTTAGCGGATTGCGTCAAGTTAGCAAAAAATAAACAAACCTTCATCAACATGTTTTTTAAATAACTTGTGATTGATATTTTAATCTTATTTCTGGCTCATAACATTAATCAAATTAATTGAATTCAGTTTTAATTTGTACCTTTGAACACACTCGCAAACCCATATTTATATATCTAATTAATATGTAATGTTTTTTTGTTAATCTTCACCTGACTGCTTATGGTTCGTGTCTATCTGTGCCTAGTTGGTGTTTATAACTTGCCACTACCTACCGAAATAGTAAGCTTGTAACTTTTTGATTTTTTGTTGATTTGATCTTCAACTGAATATCATGTCTACACTGAATTTTGAAGCTCTATTATAGTTTTTGTCACAGTCTAGTCTTTTAACCACTGTAGTAACTTTTCATCTATTTAAAATCGTTACCTCTTGTTTTTTTACAGCAGTTTTTTCTCATAGTTCCGAACTAAAATTAGAATCTTATATAATGGAACCCGTGCCATCAAATCCTCTAGCAGAGGAACAGCAAATCAATGCAAACCGTAAAGGCCAAACAATTAGTTTAATGTCAATCCAAGATAACAAAGCTGGTATGAAAGGGTTGGACAAAGATAAAATCAACCAATTGCTAGAAAAAATGTCTAAAGACACTCTTCATTACAAACATGAGCAAGAACGAGATTTGAAAATGGATGAACAGATTAAAAAAATGAAAAAAGATTGGAATACCTATACGAACGCAGCGAGAAAAAATGCAATGGATATGATGGAAAAGGCTCGTGAAAATCGTGGCTATGAAAAACAAGCTCGTGACCTTAGTCAAATTATTGTTCACATTGATATGGACATGTTCTTCGCGGCTGTTGAAATGAGAGATAATCCGAGTCTATGTGATAAACCAATGGCCGTTGGCTCACTTCGTATGATAAGCACATCAAATTACGTTGCTCGTCGTTTTGGAGTACGTTCTGGAATGGCTGGTTTTATTTGTATGAAACTTTGTCCTGATCTAATCATAGTACCCTGCAATATGCGTAAATATTCTCAAGTCAGTGGAGTTATAATGAATATTCTAAGGCACTATGATCAAGATCTTTTCGTAATGAGCTGTGATGAAGCTTATCTCAACATTACAAATTATGTTACTCAACTATTTCTCAAAGCGAATCCTGATTGGGACAATCCTGTTCTTGTTGCAGATCAAGTGAGTGGTGAAAGGAAACTGATTCCACAATGTTGGGACCTAGCTTTTAAAGTTGTAGATGACATGCGAACACAAATTCTCGAAGCTACTAAATTAACTGCTTCTGCTGGAATCGCAACTACATCTATGTTAGCTAAAATTTGCTCTGATTTAAACAAACCCAATGGACAGTATATGTTACGAGGATCGAGTTTTGAACACATTCAGGACTTTGTAAATAAATTGGATGTCCGTAAAGTAAATGGCATTGGTAAGGTTCAAGAAAAATTCCTCAAAGCTTTTAATATCAATACTGTTAATAATATTTGGGATCGGCGGGATGTTATACAATTGCTTTTCAAGCCCGCTGCTATCGACTTCTATCTCAGAGTTTCACTCGGATTGGGATCTTCTTTTACCAAAGATGAAGAAGAAAGATTGCGCTCGAAAGGTCGTGGTAGCTCTTTTAAAGCTACTAATGATTTCAATTGGTTGGATAATCGATTGTCAGAACTCTGTTCGAAGCTAGCTGAGTCTCTCAACGATCATGGCTTGAAAGGTAAAATGATTGTTCTGAGAATGGAAAAAGATACATTCGATGCTTTTGTTAAAAGTCGACGATTATCGTTTTACACATCTGACTTTACAATCATTCATCAAACAGCTAAATCAATTCTGAAAGCACAATTATCTGCCAGTAGTGGCTCTAAATGGAGAGCAATGAGAGTTATGGTAACTCATCTCAATGTAAACGAAATTACTCCAATTGATGATAAGAAACAAATGAAATTGGATAAGTTCTTCAAAAAGTCTGTTCTGTCAAATGATACTTCGCTTAATGAATCACTGAATGACTCTTTACAAAAAATGGAACATTGTGATGAACTCCAAAATGTTCCTGATAAACAAAACATTCTTGTCAAATGCTGCTCCAAAACATTCAGTGATTATAGCGCATTTGAAAAACATGAAACATCTTGTCTAGAGGACCAACTAAGTCAAAGCTCGATAGAAACCATTGACGTCGAATCTGATGAAGAATCCGATGAATATTTATGCACGAATTGCGATGAAAAATTTCTGAATTACAATGGATTGGAGCAACATTTAGCAATTTGCTTGGAAGCTGTCTTCTGTGACGCTGTTATTCAAGAAGCCTCTACAGTAAATTTGAATGAACATAATTCTTCGAAAAATCCCGTAATTATCCCAAATACTGGTTGTCGGAAATTATCAGATGACGATAAAGAATCTGCAACGAGCCAAAGAAACCGAAAGGTTATGAAACTTTGTTAGTCTAAACAAATTTAAATCAACGTCCACATTCATATTTTACTCAAAAATCCAAAAAATTTTATTGCAAAGCATTTTCGTATCTCTCTTGATATTGCTCATATCAATCAAAAATGTACCATTTATTTCATCCGATTTCCGTTATTTGTCATAAGGTCTTTCTTCATTGGTACTCATTAACACTTTCTTTCAACTGTTTCGCTCGTTTATCAAGAGTGTATTTTATGGAAAGGTCAAAATCAGCAATCTTTGAGATTGGATATTTTCCTCGGTGTATAATGAAAGAAACAAGTGCTATTGGTAAACCTTTAAAAGGAGGTTTAGTAAATACTTTTTACGATAGATTTACATTTTGTTTACGATAGATGGCGAGATTGAGAGCATGAAAAATTGCGCTTACTTAACTTTGAATTCACCAGTATGTTTTGAATAAACTCTATTCATTCATAAATTGATCATGAGGTGTTTAACTTTAGGCTCTCTAGCCCGACCAGCTAGTAACTTTACTGTAGGTGCTAATCGACTTTCACCTTTGTTTTGGATTATTAATCGATCATCATCTTCATCAGTTGTTAAACCTTACTCAAACTACAAAAGTGATTATTTTGTTAAACGTCATATTGGAGCAAGAGAACATGAAAAACAACAAATGTTATCGACAATTGGATACAAAGTAAGTTAAAATTTGTTATTTAATCGAGTGGTTAAAAAAGATAAAGCAATTTACTTAGATCAAAGGCTACTTAAAATATCAATCACTATTAATTCCAATCACGTTCCAAGAACATTATCCATTAATCTGTAACCTTCTGTAGCATCTTCTAATCATTTGATTGTCAACCTTTCTTGAGCGGTCGAGTTTTTCATTCTTTCCAATTTATGACTATCTGATTTTTCAACAGCCGAGAAATGAAATAATGCATAGAATACCAAAGAGTAACTAGTCAATTTTTGATTGAAAACTCACCGAGCAAATGAAAATTCTCATAGTTTGTAAAAAAAGCAGTTTATTTAAATTTTCTTGCAAAGTTGAACGAATTTCATATTCATTCTCTGCTGCTTTTTCGTTTCTGTTCTTGACTTTTTTTTTTACATTGAAACATGGCAATACGTGAAATCGTCTGGGAAATTTTCAGCTTTCATTTGAAGAAAATCAACAATCTTTATCTTAAACAATCTTTCACTTTGTTTCCACTCTTACTCTTTATGTTGTTTTGTTTTTCATTTTAATCGATACCACGAGAACAAGAAATAGCTGGAATAAAATCATAATGATTTCAACTTGATAGTCTATAAGTTTATTTGTAATTTTTTACTCTTTTCTGTAAATAAGCTTTGGTTTTGAATGATCGATGAAGATACTAATGGCGAGAGGTAAGATTAATAGGAAATGATAAGACTTGGTGAAGAGGTAAAAAATATACAGGGTTTCTGATTCATGAATCATGATAAACAGAATAGGATGTTATTCCTTATTTTTTTATTGAATAGATCAAATGATATTATATCTTCTTTAATAATCTATTTATCGACGACTTTGCTATTCTCTTTAGATAAAAGATCACAAAATAAGATTTTACGATTAGATTATTGATAATATCAAGTGATAAGTGATAAAATCTAAATCATATCATATTGTGTCAACAATCTTTGAGTCTTTATTGGAAATAAACAGATTTTTTCAAGATTGTGATTAACCTTCAATTATTCAGCCTCTCAGCATACCAATCGGTTTCACAATTTTATGCTGAATATTGGAGCAATTCTCTCTCTTTGTGATAAAACGCAAATGCTCTATTGAAAACTGAATCTAATTGAATGTTTTTCTTCCATCCGATTTTAGACTCTGGAAGAGCTCATTGACAAAACGGTTCCAGATAGTATTAAACTTAATAGAGATCTTAAATTGGACTCCAAAATAACTGAAAATGAATTGGTTCAACGTCTTCGCCAAATTGCTGACCAAAACGATTATACTTGGAAATCATTCATTGGACTCGGCTATCACAATTGTTATACACCAGCCCCAATAATGAGAAATATCTTTGAAAATCCAGGTAAATTGGTAAATCCATGTAAATTATGATTTGCTGATGAATTTATATCTTCTACTTTTTGTTTGCAGGATGGATCACTCAATATACTCCTTACCAGGCTGAAATTGCACAGGGTCGATTAGAGAGTTTGCTAAATTACCAAACAATGATTTGTGATTTAACAGCTATGGAAATTTCCAATGCTAGTTTATTAGACGAAGGAACCGCAGCCGCTGAAGCTATGCAAATGTGTCTAAGGTTTGTGATTATCTTTAACCAATATTGCAATTCTCATAGAATTTTATTTTAAAGTTTTATCTTTTTCTCTTATTCTCTTTTTTATCTTTAGGCACCACCGTAATAAGCGCAACAAATTTCTGATCTCTGATAAAGTTCATCCTCAAACTATTGCCGTTGTAAAAACAAGAGCCAGTGCATTAGGAACAGAAATTCAATTTTTCAGTGGTAACGCAGCTATTATTTACTGTCTCTCATTAATGAGCACTCAAAACTCCGATAAGGTCGATATTTAATCAAAATTTTCTACTGTCTCTCGTCTATTTTAGATTTATCTTCAATCGACTCTTTCAAGTTGAATGAATTTTCAGGAATTTTAGTACAAAATCCAGATACCGATGGAAATATATTTGACCTTACCCAAGTAACTCAAAAAGCTAAAGAATCTGGAGCAATTTTATCAGTAGCAACTGACCTTTTAGCCTGTATTCTAACCAAACCACCGGGGGAATATGGTTCCAATTGTGATATTGCTATTGGAAATACTCAAAGATTTGGTATACCATTGAACTATGGTGGACCTCATGCGGCTTTTATGTCGTGCCGTAATTATTTAACCAGGATAATGCCGGGAAGAGTTGTAGGTGTTACAAAAGATTACCTCGGTAATCCTGCAGTTCGATTAGCACTTCAGACTAGAGAACAACATATTCGACGAGATAAAGCAACATCAAATATTTGTACAGCCCAAGCTTTATTGGCAAATATGTCAGCAATGTATGCTATTTATCATGGACCTGAAGGATTGAAGTCAATGGCCCAAGCAATTCACGAGAAAACATGTTACCTAAAAGATGGTATAAACCATCAAAATGTGTGCAAAGTAACCAATGACCATTTCTTTGATACACTTAAAATTAAAGTACCCGACGTTGATGTAATTAAGGCTCGTGCTGCTCAAAAACAAATTCATTTGAGATATTTTCCTGACAATAAGCATGTTGGAGTTGCCTTAGATGAAACTGTCACTGATGCTGATCTAGATAATTTACTTTGGATTTTTGGAAAAGATTCGGTAAGCTTTTTGACATTGCTAAACATTTACAAAAGCTATAAATATCAATACTTTGAAAAATTATTATTTCATATTTGTTTTCTTTTCAGATCTCATTACCTGATAGCAAAGTCAATTCATTGAATATGATTCCATCTGAATTAAAACGATCATCGCCTCTTTTGGTCCATCCAATTTTTAATAAGTACCATAGTGAAACCAAATTAGTTCGTTATATGAAAATGCTAGAAAATAAGGACATTTCTCTTGTGCATTCGATGATACCTCTGGTATGAATTAAAGTATTTTTTATCAGTTCAGTCCACTAATTATATTTTTTGGTTTTCAGGGATCATGCACAATGAAATTGACTGGAACAACTGAGTTATTAGCTTCTTCTTGGCCTCAGTTTGCAAATATCCATCCATTTGTTCCGGTTGAAAGTGTTAAAGGTTATCGTCATTTAATGGAGGAATTGAAAAATGATCTCTGTGAAATCACTGGATATGATGATATTTCATTCCAACCAAATTCAGGAGCTCAAGGAGAATATGCTGGTCTTCGAGTTATTAAAGCTTATCTCGATCATAAAGGCGAAAGTGACAGAGATGTAAATGATTTCTTCAAAAGAAAATTTTTAAACATTTTCACCTAATTTTACATTTCATTATTTTCAGATTTGTTTGATTCCAATATCAGCTCATGGTACTAATCCAGCAAGTGCTCAAATGGCAGGAATGAAAGTTAAAACAATCAATGTTAATAAAGATGGTTCAATTGACATAGCTCATCTAAAAGATAAGGTAAATTCTGAATGCCTCATCATTATTTTCAAATTTTTAAACCTTATTTTCATTTTAATTTCAGCTTGATAGATATGGAAATAATGTGGCTTGTATGATGATAACTTACCCATCGACATTTGGAGTTTTTGAAGAGCAAATAGTAGAAATAATTGAGCTCGTTCATAAATGTGGTTCAGCTCAAGTTTACCTTGACGGAGCTAATATGAATGCCCAGGTTGGCCTTTGCAGACCAGGAGATTATGGAAGTGATGTTTCTCATCTAAATCTTCATAAAACTTTTTGTATTCCTCATGGTGGAGGTGGACCAGGAATGGGTCCAATCGGAGTGTAAGCAAAAAAAGATTTGAACAAGTTCAGACTTATTTAATTCATTTCTAATAATGATCCTTCTTTTTTGTTCTAGTAAAAAACATTTGGCTCCATTTTTACCATCACATCCAATTGTTCATCAAGATGCTTCATCTCTCAGTTTTGGAACTGTTTCTGCAGCTCCATGGGGCTCTTCAGCGATTTTACCGATCAGTTGGGCTTACACCAAGATGATGGGTCCAAAAGGATTAAGACATAGTTCAGAGATTGCTATTTTAAATGCAAATTACATGGCAAAGGTTTTGGAGAAAGCATACAAAATCTTGTTCAGGGGAAAATATGGTAATGTCGCTCATGAATTCATTTTGGATGCAAGAGATTTTGCTAAAACAACAAATGTGGAAGCCATGGATATAGCTAAGCGACTTCAAGATTATGGTTACCACGCACCAACCGTTTCCTGGCCAGTTCCAGGAACACTCATGATTGAACCAACAGAATCGGAGGACAAAGAAGAGCTTGATAAATTCTGTGATGCACTGTTGTGTATTAGAGAGGAAATAGCTGATATTGAGAGAGGAATTTATGACCGTAATAACAATCCAATTAAGGTTAGATTAATTTGAAGAGTTTACTCTAAATTGTTATTTCTTATTTACTAACAGAACTTTCATTTTCTTGTTTCATATTTTGTTTAGCTTGCTCCGCACACTCAAAAGCTTGTTTGCTCTTCAGATTGGAATAGACCGTATTCCAGGGAAAAGGCAGCGTTTCCATCGGTAAGATTTTATCTGAATAATCATTTTTTAATCAATCGATTAAATTTTTATTCTTTTCTCTTTCACTTCAGAAACTGGTCAATCCTGAATCCAAAATTTGGCCTACAGTTGCTCGAATCGACGAAGCTTTTGGAGATAAAAACTTATTTTGTACTTGCCCTCCAGTTAGCGATTATTGTGATAATTAATCTATGAAATATAATTATATATTCTTATTAAAATTTTAATTTAATTTTTATCCTTATGGTTCCCCGATTTCTTGTTTCTAAGCTCATATTTGTTCTCAGTCAAATCTTTGTTTGCCATAAAGTATTTGATAATTTCATCGTCAACAAGTAAAGGTTTGCTCGATTCGCCGAAAATCTTATGAGTACGAATGAAAGAGCCATTCATTAACCAATCATATTATAATGATATTATACAATCACCACAAATGAAGATAGAACTGTTGAAAAAAGGTTAAAACCAGAAAAAAATGAACAAAATAAGCAGTAGCGCAGATACGCTCTTGGTTTGTTTTTACTTCTGGTAAAGCTTTTTTAACCAGCTTCTACTTTTGACTCAACTTCGAATAACTATTAGACAGTTGTACAGTGATGACCAGACAGACAACCTTAACTCATCACATTTCACCTGTTTTTGGTCAATTTTTTGTAAGTTGATCAGCTATCCTTTTGAATTGCTTTTCTTTATCTTCATAGGTCCTTTGATCTTGAGTAAGAAATGAGAAGAGTTCTTGTTGAGTCGGTTTATTCATTCTCAAAGATATCAAATTGTTTCTTCTTTTTAACTGCCAACTATGGTTATGTCTTGAAGTAACATCGTATTCAGTAAGATTATTACAAGGTAAAATAAAAATTAGCTGATCGACTGTCTCAGTTTATTAAAATCAAATACCTTGAAAGCTTGAAATAATTGATGAGCAAAAAGTGTTTAAATTGTAATTGTATTACATCAACAATAATCAATATAACTTTTTATTTCGAAAATAATACAAAGAAAAAGTGAATGGAAATGGTTTTGTCATCTTGTTTTGGGCATTTACACGTTTTGAGATGTTTTACTGTCGCTTGCAACTGGTAAACAATCCAATCACTTGGGTCAATCCAACAATCATAACACGTATGATCGTAACTAACGTCACTAAGTCAACGTATCAATACAAGTTGACAGTTGATGGTTGAAAGAAAAGTGTTTGTTCAAACCGAGAGAAAAATTAGGGAAGGAAAGGATTGAGATTTCAACAAAATAAGAAATGTTACATTTTGGTAAGTACAGGATGAATTTTAACATTTGTACAGAAAAATTATCAGAAATTCAGTTTGGTAATTGGACCATCGACTAATCAAATAACATACATTTATATGTTTAATACTATAATTTTAATCATTTGCCTCTTTGTCAAGCGATATATCTTTTAATCTTTTGATTCTAGAGTTTGAGGTTTTGTTTCTCCATCCAAGATAGCGATAATTTAAACTTGTATTTTATATATTATACAATAACATAATATTGTGTGTTCTCGATTGTGGACTAGAAAGCTTTAGTTTACATGAACTCCACTTACCTCTTTGATTCGATAATTTTAACTCTAGCTTATGCTTCGATTATGAAGAGATTCATTGAAAAAATGGAATTAAGATCATCAGATTCACTAACTCGTTGTAAAGATTGATCAGTTCCAATTATGATGAATACGATTTTTTACATTTGATCGAATACGATTATGATTTTTCCCTAGATATGGATGATACTTTGGTGAAATTGGAAGATGAATGGTTTACTGCTTAATTATACCAAGAAGAAATGAATATGAAACAATAACTGAAGAGAACTGAACTTAGAACTGAAGTTCGTCCATAAATTGTATGAAATTGTATTGGAAGATTTTGAAAGAGGTTAAACTAGTATTATGACTTTGGTTTATGCCTTTAAGATCCGAAAGTGATTAGATTGTAATTCATTGTTATTTATGTTTTTGGCAAAAAGATCCATAAGTAGACGAAGTAGGTAAACCTTTTGAATAATAATTGAAACTTTCAAGCCTAAATCCTGAACAGATTAGCACCAATTGAATGCTCTAGATTGAGTAGCTTCATAAATATTTTGTCGAGTGAACCAATGATTTGTTCGAATTTTCAAGTATAAAAAACAAACAAATCTTCATTGTTTTCAGTCCAACAATTTTGATGCTGCATCTGCAAGATTCCATTCAGCTTCACGTAAAGCATTAGTACACTTTTCAATGTCAGCCACACCTAATTTCATTAACTGGTTCAATTGCAATTCTTTCATTGCGCTAACAGAGTCCATGCCATTTGTTTGAAGAGCTCGGACACATTCTTCTCGAGTCGTGCCCTTAACAGTTTCCATGAGTTGATCGACCCATGCATTGAAATTGGGATACATTGTGATCTGACCAAGTCCATAGATAACTTCACGACTTGGTGCAGATGGTCCTAATCCAGCTCCATAAAAAATTGGACAAGGTGGAGCTGGTGCTGGACCTTTATTTGGTGCGAAAAAGGGACGAACTTGGGCTGTAGGAGGTTGTGGAGCTTTACGCAGAGTTGACGTAACAGACGCTCGGCTGATTGAAGAGTCTCTAGATCTATAAGAGCTTGAGTTTTGGTTTCTTCGTGAGTTTTTAACATGTCCGTTAGAAGGTGGGGGAACGACGAAAGGAACTTCTTGCGTTATTTGAGTCGGTTGAGAGGACTGAGATTGCTGTGTTTGTTGTGGTGGAGCAGCTGCAGCTGAACACAACAATTTGGCTTCCAATTCTTGCAGAAACTCTTTACTTAATCTAGATGGTTGACGGTTCTCATCTAAATTTCGTTGACCAGATTGTTGATCCGATTGATGTGCTAAATCACCATTATTTTGAACCTGTAATTGTTTCATGCTTGATTCAATCCAGTTAAAAGCCTGATCTGCACGATTAGCAGCACTTGACGGTTGTTTACTTGCAGTAGATGATGATATTATATTATCAATGTTGGAAGTATCGAATGGATCAGCGTTAACGGGATCCAAACTGGTAATGGAAGGTGCTTTTTCCCGAGATAAATGAGATCCTGATTTGTAGTAAGCAGATTGAGATTCATATATTGAATAAATATCAGAGGCATCGGAAGAAATTCCAGCCAATGCCCATTCAGAGTCACTGAAACTTGAACCTTCATCCGAAGAGGCTTCTTCATTGGGCGTAGAGTAATATCTAGATCCGGATGATGGCTGGTTATTGTGGTGTGATGGAGGAAATGGTTTAGATGAAAGGGTAGAATTATTGGTGGCACTTGCTGAATTAGTGATTGCGTTTGATGAATTTAGAAGAGAAGAAAGAGTTGATGACGAAGAAGCAACATTATAATATACTCTCTGGTAATTCGGGTCATCATTTTCTTGAAATGTCTCTGGAAACTGATGACCATTGGTAGTAACTCTTTGTTCACCCAGCATAACCTGAGCCGCTTTTAATTCTTGAACTGTTTCTTCTCCATCTAAATCAATGAGAAGTCCTTCAGAGCAAGAGAGTCCTTCACTTTTCAATTGAGTGTAAGATTGTGATCGCTTAGGAGCTAAATCTCTTGAATGACGATCTCGGTCAGATTCTGAATGTTCTCTGTCATCATTTCTAAATCTATTGTAACCAAATTGTCGTGAAATATTGCGCTTTGGACTGCCCAAGTCACCTAAATTATTGAGAACTGCAAGAAAAGTTAAAGATCGTTAGTATTTGTTTGAATTTCTTGTTTAACAGGATGAAAGGATGATATTAAGGAAATGTATTAGTAACGAGGTCTCAAATAAAAAGATTGAAATTATGCAGTAATGTTACATGAAATTGTCATTCAACTTTGTACATTTCAGTATCGGTCATTTACATGGAACTAATTTCCTTTAATCTGAATACCTTTTATAGTTTTGTGATTTTTATATTGAATTTAAGATAAGATAAAATCTGATCATATACAAATTTAAAGCAAATTGTTGGTTGTAAATGAAGATATTGAACGAAACTAAATCGAGAGGAAGTAAGGACTTTTGTTTTACTATCACAATAGAAAGTTTTTGTTTTGTTGAGCTAAATATAATACAAAATGCTGATAATCATCTTCATTGTTATACAATTGATGTTTTGATTTTTTGATGAATTTTCATTATTCTCAACGTAAATCTAGATTGTAGAATGAAAAACTATGACATTCAAGCATTGAAAAAAGTGTTTCAAAGTTTGAATATAAGTTCATAATTGCTACCAAACAAAGAGCTACTAACAGAAAATGCTTAACTTTACTATTTATATCGATGAATATGCTAAATTTGATTGATTGATTTGTAAAATCTGCATTTTTGTAACCATCATATCATGTAAAACATTGAAAAAAGGGAAAAATCAATGCATTTTGTTTTGTATTATGAACGACTTACGTTTGATTTTATCATTCAATTTGATTGATGTAGGAGGCGGAGGAAGTTCTTTGTCTGGATAACCCATAATATCAGGAGGTTGTAGTGGATTTTTCAGATACAATTCATCAATGTGACTAGGATGACCCCAGGTGTTTCCGATTCCACCATGACCAGCATGCACTAAACTACCTTTTAAAGGTTTACTAATAGCTTTACGTTTACCAATAGCACTTGTTTCTTTCATTATACACCGAGGAAAATATCCAATCTCAAATGATCGCTGATTTTGACCTTTCCATAAAAAACACTCTGGATTACCTTCAACAACCTCCACTTTATCTCCTGGTTTGATGATTAAAGGTTTTTTGGAACTAAATAGGTTTGAAGAAGAAACGCTAGAGCCATTGTTAGGTAAAGTTTCATCTGTACCATCAAAAAGTCGTTCACTAATCAGATCTAATGGGCGAGTTTCTTCGAGAAAAGATTTAATTTCATTGAAATTGGGTCGCTGATCAGGATTTGCATCCCAACATTTAAGTAAAAGATCATATAGAGAGGCTGAGCATGCCTCTGGTTGCTCTAATCTTTCACCTTCTTTATCAATTTTATGCAAAATTTCAGCACCATTCAAATTTTTCCAAGGTTCATCACCAAAGGTAAACATTTCCCATAGAGTCACACCATACATCCAAACATCAGATGAAGAGGAAAATTTCCTGTGTCGCAATGATTCCGGAGCACACCATGGAAATGGTACTTTTTTCGACTCATTCATGATATAACAATCATCTTGATTGGGTAAAGCTCTAACCAGTCCAAAATCTCCTATTTTTACCCTCTTTCTAGATGCTGATATGATAAAATGATAGAAAGAAAAAACAAAAGAATCATGAAAGGGGAAAGATAAAAGATGAATTATTATTCTAGACAAAAATAATGTAATTTTATCGATTATAACAACTAACCTAAAAGAATATTCCGTGCTGCAAGATCTCTATGAATGAATCTTTTAGATTCAAGGTAAGCCATTCCGGAAGCTATTTGAATAGCATAATCATGAAGCAAAACAATGGAAGTATGGCCACACTCTTTTCGTAATCTATCCCTGAGAGATCCATTCTCAGCCAGTTCAGTAATCATCATCATTGGTAGGGATAAAACGATACCATAGAGTCGAATGAGATTTGGATGATTTAGAAGATGCATTGAATTAACTTCTTTGATGAAATCTTCAATGATAGCTTGTTGAGAGATGACTTTCTCCTTCAAGACCTTGGCCGCAACATACTGAGTCCGTTTCGTATCTGAATAAAAATGGTAAAAAGTAAGACAAATGACGTTAATCATAAATTCATTAATTTTTGAAGTATAATTAGAATGGTTATTTTCATTTATGGGAATTTTGATTCACTTCATTAAACATTATATTTCATATTAATATTTATTTTTGTAGATATGCATGAGAAGAAGGCTTCTAATAAAAAATTCTTTGGTTTACGTCAAAGAGTAAATCGTTATTCAGTATTGATCAATTGAGTGAAAGATTGTTTGAAGTTATTCTTGTCTTTAGCACAAGGAGTCAGAGTGCACCAAAGCAATGAATTAGATAGTAATGAAAAAAAATTAGATTGAATAATGAGTATCAACTTGTTATTTTGTTAACAAAAGAAGACAAATGTTCATTTCTAGCCTTTTGAGTGCACCAAAAATAGTTCATGTAGACTTTTCATGTATACAGGACTATCAGAACAAGATCACAACCATCATAATCTCTTCATTCCTGATTTGTCCTCTTTACCTTCCTTTTATTTAGTGACTTAATTTGGTATGATCATTAAGTCGTAACATATCCCAACTTAAAAGCTATAAGAAAAAAAGATTGAACAGAAAAGTCTCACCAGGTACAGTCCAAATAGCTTTCCACACAACGCCAAATGATCCATCACCTAGTTTTGTGTTGGTCAATTCAAGATCTCTCTCATTGATTAGCCATGTTAACGATGAGTTTGAAGATTCTCCGGTTAGACTTGACTTTCTTTCACTTTTTTCGGATCCACTTTTTTGTACAAAAGGATTAACAGGGTTGATCAATTTAAGAATAGGATTGTTTCTCCATTTTATTGAAAATTTTTTCTTTTTTATGTTGTCTAATAGCCTACGTCCAGCTGGTTTGGCTATTCCAATACGAGCCAAATCATCTAAAGTAACATAATCAAAGTGATGAAAAAGGGTGACTTGAAGCTCTTCACGTAAACTGTGATAAAATCCTTCCAATTGTTCCTCTTTGAGTATTTGGTAGACCAATTCTTCATCGTTTAGCTCTGTATCCATTTTCACATCACAAAAATTACACTAGTTACAGGTTTTAATAAATAAGAATCAAACTAAAAACAAAACAGAAGGTAAAAAATGACAAGAATGAGATGCAACCTCCCAATTAACTAATCATTGGAAAAGCCAAGCTCAGATGTAAACAAACCTCAATAAAAACTTATCGTATACGATAGATGGAGCTACATCATCTTATTGCTTATTTTTTGCCGTTCTTTCAATAGTTTTTCAGGTTTATTAATAATTTGATATAATTCAATCTTTTGTAAATTTAACCATAAACTAACAACAAATAAACACACCATCATTCAATATACTGAAGCCAATTACCGGTTGGAGACTCTTCAATGAATAAATCTGTCTAAGAAGATGATAATATCTCATGGATAATATGGAGCTTAAAAGTTATCGATTGATTGTTTTGAAAATCTGACTTCATAATATTACTTCAGTACAGTTCAAGGTAAATGAATTTCTCTAAATCTTACACATTGTCGATTATTCCGTTCTCGTAAGACACCCGAGTGTAACTGCTTGTCCTTTGAATTTTGAAATATCAATTTGCTCAAACCTGTGACAAGATGAAAGATAAGAAACTGACACCACGAAAATGCATTATTACCACTTATTAATAATCGTAATATTGTCAGGTATTGAACACAATCCTTTCTTGAATCAAATTGTAATCGTTGCTGTTATTTCGAGCAGCCTCTTTTAAAAAGAATAATTTAGTCTAAAAATTTTTGTCAATTTCATGAAATCAACTCAACTGCCAAGGATCCAAATGGTCAAGGTAATCTCAGAACTTTGTAATTCCAATTTTCTTTCAATGTTTATGTAATTCACTCAGTTCTATTTTCTGTTAAATTAATTCAAAAAAATCTACACTCGCAAAATGCTGGTCAAAATATTCAACCTTTGATATTTTATGGCCTAATGAATGTCAATTGATTTGAATGATTGAATCAACATTTTCTTATTCTTTGAGCTTGTTGAAGCTACCATCACTAATACAAATCAATTTGATCCTTTGGGAAATGACTGTATCCAATCATTAAGCTCAATATCAATTGCATCTTCATTTTATGTTGCTGTGATTATAAAAATATAAAGCCTTTGAGTCCATCAAAAGAATCATATTGATTAGATTTCATTGACTTCCATCCCAATCATGGTAATAAACAGACGTATCTGAAGGAAGTTCTTTACATTGATCGATTCAGTGAATGTAAAATTCAATTGTTGGCGGAATTAATGGTTAAATTTTATTTTATTGTGTATTTAATTTTATTATCTTAATGATCCTCCAAAATTAATGAAGGTTAGAGGCTTGTTAGTTAACATTTTAATAATTCAATGAGCTATAATTAGTTTTTGATTTATTTTTTTGCTTGGCTTCTTGTCTTGATTTGCTCTACAATTTATACAAAATGATTTTTATACAAAATTTAATTATTAATTAATAAACAGATGGATAGAGAAAGAAGTGAGAATAAATCGGTTGATTTTAAATCAGAATCGTTTACAATAAACTTTTCTGTGGCATGTTTGGCTTGAATCATTAACCATACATCACCGTGTAATATCAACAATCAATGAAACTCTTTTTTTTAGTTTCATCATTTTTCCTTATTATTTTGCACTTTCAAGGCTAATTTTATTTTTAAGTTGATTAATTTAATTAATCTAATTGTCTGTAAGAGAGAGAGAGAGAGAAGAAGAAGAGAAAGGGAGAGAGAAGAGAAAAAGAAGACAAAATTGTGAGAATCAACAAATTTTCATAAGTTGTTATCACCAACAAATGGTACCAATTGCGATTCCAGGTTTGGTTAATAAGAGCAGGTATTTGGTTATCCAAATTTAATGTCAATTTAAGTAATTATAAAACAATTTGAATAGATAAACAGGTAAATAAGTCATCAGTTAGGAGATAACAATTCGATTCTCGTCGTGATCACTATCAGCTTTAAAAATCCATGGTTTCGTTGTTATTGTATGTACGTAAGTGTGTGTGTCATTTGTTAATTGTTTAAAAATTAGTCACCAATACTTGATTATTGTTGCTGCCATTATTGTTGAAAGACTTGCTTTTGGTATTTGATTTGTCGCCCGTCGGTCTGTTAAGTAATCCAATAAACGAGCTAGAATTAACATTGTTTGATGTAGTTGGGGAAAAGGATGGAGGTAAAATGGTTGTTTCAGCTCCTGATGAGCTGGTTACAGTTGTAATTAAGGTTGCAGGGGTTGTCGATGTTGACGAGATTATTATTGTAGTTGGATTCTGGTTTGATGATTTTGTGGTAGTGGTGGTACTTGTGGTTGTTGACACATTGCATGAGATTATCAAGCGATTAGTTGGTGGCGAAGTTGATAAGGATGATGAAAAAGTGTTTCCTAAAGTTCCTAAAGATTGAGGCGAATGTCGCCCAGGTATATTTATTGTTGCCGAGTCAACACAGCTCGTTCCATAGCTACCGACAGAGCTATTAAATGATTGGTTAGTTGTAATCAGGTTACGCTTGTTGGTAATATTAGCATTAGAATTGATAACATTATTATTGTTACCATTACTATTATTATCAATATTAATATTATTATTCACATTATTACTATTAGTATTATTAATATGAGAAGTATTATTATTTAGTTGGCTATTTGGTGCTTGATTGGAGAGAAGAGCTTGATTTGAATCATTTTGAATGGACGGTCTTGGAAGGTAAGCCTCTAAATGTTGCAAAGCATTTGAATCATCCCTCTCTTTATCACCTTTGATCAAGTTTATCTTCTGGATCATCTCTTTTAACTCATAACGTAAGATAAAAGCAAAACAAAGTTTAAGAAAGGTTAACACACAAAATCCAATAACCGAAAGGCAATCGACACTTGATTGTAACCAGTCAAGAATCTGACTATAGCAACCAGTTGTGTAAATATTTTCTGGTTCATAACTATCCATACAATCAGCACTTGTGGTCCTAGCAGCAATCACTGTATTATCATTATATCCTCCTCCTCCACCGCCTCCACCACCACCTCCACCACTGTTACCCCGTCTATTTATATTATCACTACCAGACGTTTTTTGGTGAACACCTTTGCGAACCGTACTTTCACTTGTAACACTACCACTTGAAACTCCTCCACCGGCATTAGTACCGGCAACACCTCCTCCTTCATCTACTCCCCTTTGATTGGAGTCAACGATGGTTGGTATCATTGGGAAACGATGATAGGCACAACAACTTTGTGGCACAAGGAACTGGGCACCTTCATAAGTAGCATGTTCACGTTCAAACCATTGGGTCATATTATAATCATAAGGCGTATCGATACCACAACATTGATGTTCACTTTGAACACGATCCCATAATTCCTGGTTTTAGGCGAGTCAAATTAAAAGAAAACAATATAAATGATTAAATTGGTTTAACGGCACAACTCTATAAAATTAATTACATTTACTTCAATTATCTTTTTTTCCTCCAACACACCAATCCCATTGTGACCATTTCATTCAATCAACTGTTTACATTGTAGCAACAGTTAATGTTACTTTTCCCTCTCATTTTCCTCCATTACTCCTTTATGTATCCCTTTCAGTATCTTTAAGTATCGCTCAGTATCTCTTAGTATCTTTTTAGTATCTTCTATTGAACTTCTCCTGCTTAATTGACTATTGTTCTAATTGAATTTCACTGTTTCTATCCAACATTATTAAGCCAACTAACTAATTCCAACTTGAACAATGTTTCACTGTGCTAACTTCAACTTAAATTGGTTAATTATTGCCATCTTTAATCTATTGATAGCTTATAAGGAAGTAGACAAAAGCAATGATCGGTGTTGGTAATGACATAATCCTATGTTTCTTAATACGAGATTAAACAGTCAAGTGAGTTGTTAATTTGGTATCTAATTTTTTTTAACCACAGGGTGAACTGGACAAGCTGAACATGATAGACAAGATGGTCAACAATTAGTTTGGTCACCAACAGGATTAATGGACAAGGAGATCAACGTGGTCACATCAATTACATCACAACAAATGAATTTGTTTGCATTTTTACCTGGAAATCTGTGTCAAAGCCATAATCATTGTCGAGACGATAAATGAGATCAGATCGTAGATTGGTCAGTAATAAATTATAACGGAAGAGCCAAATTATACCAACAACAATATCTCCAACTAGTAAAACTAATATAATTTGCCAATAGAGCCCTAGAAGACGTTCATTCATTCGGTTAGCACCAACACACCCGATTGCCTGTTTGAAGAAAAATGAACAATATGGTTAATCATCTGTTAATATTGATTATATACGAAAACAGGCGAACCCAAAAAGTATGGAAAAAAGTCATTTGCAATTTAACTTGCATTGAGTTGGGTTTGCCACTTTACCTTTCATTTTATATCTCATACATGGTTGTAGACAGATATTAAATAAACTGACGTAAATGCAAGTAAATTAATTAATAACTCATGTATATCAATCATTCCAAGTGAACAAATCGACACCAAATTAATAAGTTGATCAATCGATTTGAAAAAAAGAGACTCCATTAAAGGTTCCATCAATCAATCTTGCAACATTTTTCAAATAATTACGGTAACACCCGATTAACCAGTAAATTGAAATCAATCCATGAGTATATTTAAAATTATAATTTTCTTATAATATAATTTTATAATCAAACAAACTTTAGATTGTTTTTTCACTGAATTTCCCAGGTTGAGATGTTGATGAAATAAATCAAAGTAAATCAACAAAAGCAAGAGTAAAAAAAATAGTTGACAACAAAATAAACTTAAACTTGATAGAATCAAATTTAATTTATTTTTTGTTGATCTTTCTTAATGAAATCTTATTATACCTGGTTGAATTGAAGCTGTACCCTGTGTTTATCAAGAATTTTTTATCATTTTTGTTGACTTTACTTATTTACAGAAAAAAGTTGCTTGTTTTTACCCTTTCAATCATGTGAATATCGTCAACTCCAAGTCAACTCCAAAGACACGACAATTTAGTATTTAAATGAAGCAATTTACATGGGAAAACCATCTTTCTATCTGATTGTAAGATTTGAAAATTTTAATCAAAGAATGAATTTTGAACACACAAAGATTGAAAAATGAAAAATACATTAACAATTCCCAGATGATTAAAATTGAAGGACAACAGTTCAATACAAATAGACGAAGCTCATGTTAATTGAAACAATCTGGTATATTTGTTCAAATATCAACATTGCTTGAGGACACTGAAAGATATGGCAAAATATGAGATATAAAAATGATCGAGTTATTAAACATCATTTTGTTGATTATGTTGATCATTATAAATAGATGAAGATGAGCATGATTGAAATCGAGTAACATGAAAACAATAAACAACAAGATGATGAGAATATTGATATAGCCTGGAAGGTATTAGAGCAGGAATGAAACCTGAAAAATATGAAACAGATATTAATTGTTATTAATAGTTAGCTAATACCAATTAAAAAATGTTCAACATCAAAATACTGTATAATATAGCTGCAAGACTAAGGTTGAAAGTTACTCGATAAACCTTGTCCATGGATTTGTAAGTTGACCTCCCAGAGCAAAAGCATAAGGACACTGAATTACTTGTTAATATGAATGTTCAATTAAATAATTCTCACTAATTAATGTAAATCAGAATTAGAATGAATAAAAAATTTGAAATTAAAAAAATTCCATCAATAAAATTATTCATAAACAGTGAAATTTTAAAATGGCTATGAGCATAAAACGCATCATAACAGAAATGAATTTTCGTAATTTTCTGCTCAATGTTGAAACTCTTGCTGGTTTTTAGTTTATGAAACACTAATTATCAGCTATTCGTCTTGTTTGGCAATTTGGAGAGATATAATTAACCGATTGGACAAGAATTGAGAACAGATTTGCTTGGAAACGAACTGGAAATCATGTAAATTTTGATTTCTTTAAAGGTGAATAGAGGCCAGAGCATTTCGATGAAATGAAAATTGTTGAGCTCCATCAATGGTAATGGTTTTTCTGATTAGTTTCAATGTGATTCACAGGAAAACTTAATTGTCTCATGAAATTCCGTCCTCATAACAATAATTCAATTTCAAGAGGATCATCATTGATCAAGATTGTAAAATCTTAGGCTCTAAGGAATGTAAGAAACTTACCAACAATTGATTCAGTCTTAGCTATTACACAATAATTAAACAATGAGGTGAAGATGATGATGATGATTGAAAAGATGAACAAGATGGCGAGAATACTGATAAAGATGAAATAGATTGCCAGGCCTGGGGCAACGTCTTCATTGTAAGTGTTTGTTTACATTTTGTCTCACTGTTTGGTGTGGAGATGAGTAAAAAGACTGGAATTGAATTAAAATGATAATTTCATTTTATTTCATTTAAATAATTTGATAACACTTGGTTGGTAAGTCAAATGTGAATATCATTCAAACAAAATTGGACTCAGTGTTGAAGAGAAAAGCTATTTTCATAATGGAATACTTGAATCACTTTTTATAATAAATTTATTTCTTTTGTTGTCTACGCTTTTTGGCTTGTCACAGTTGTTTATCATCAACTCAACAGCATTTTGTAAATTCAAATTGATATGATGAGACTACAGTGATAATGGTGATGATGATGATACCAACAGCCAAAGAAGCGATTTATCAAATTGTCACTCAAATATTGATATACAGACACACAAAATGTAACACTGTAAAATTTAACATTGCTTTACCATGTTAACTATTCATAGGATTCATTTTAAATCTTGTTCATTCAAAATGTTCAACTCAATTTATAACATGTAAAATCATTAACTTGCCTTTTGTCGTTGATAAAATTACATTGTTTATTAACTCAAATGCAGCTTCATCTCAGCTGTACAAAAGCAATTCAATATCAAAAGGCGCTAAATACAAAATCTGTGAAAAATAATTTCAATTGTAATGAGATTATTATTGAGATTAAAATGGACACTTTAATTTAAAATCCAATCATGCACTTAATAACGTCTGAGCCTCTTTGGTTCAGGTAATGAATACAAGGTTGGTCATTCCCATTAGTGATCTTTTCAATTCCTCATTTGTCGTAATCCTTTGCGCTGCTAATTTTGTTTTTCAACCAACTCTGAAAATAATCAATTGAACGGTTATAACCTTGTAAGTAATAAGGATTATTTGTGACTATTATTTAAACTGAATTATCTGATTCACATTCAATTCTCTTGTCGTTTCTCCTGATCTCAACTAATCTCAATGATGGAGTCAACTTAATCCTTCTTCCCAATAGCAATCTATTAGTAATAATAATTTACTTTTCCTTTTTATATTGTAATAATTTGTAAAACAAAGTCATGATTTTATCCAGGAAGAAAGCAAAATTAAAAGTTGAAAATGATTACCTGGAAACAAATACAACTATAAGGTTAATCATTAACCAATTAGCTAATAAGGAAAAGACAGGAAAAGAATTGAATAAACCTTATTTGACGAGTAAATAAGATCTTTGGGAGGGAATGAACATGAAATCAGTTCAAGAGTGAACCTTGCTGATTAACAGCAGGCTGAAGTGACAAGTTTGAAGAGCAAGTCTAAAAATAGCAAAAATCAACAAATATTGTCGATAACTACTAATAGATCAGAGATTAAGACAACTTGACTTAATTATATCTTAATGAAATCTGATTTATAAGAGCTTGAAATATTCAAAAAAAATGGTGGCTAAATGCTAGCTTTTTGCTTCAACAGGAATGATGACAATTTAATCACATGGCTTCTGGTCATTGTCAATAGGATTAATAAGGACTCTTTAACCAGACACAATAAAAGTTAATATTGATCGGTAACCATAACCACTAATTATTCATAATCACCATCATTTAGACTCCATAATTTAATCAGATCAATTTTATTCCTATGATTGACTCTGTTATTTTATACCGTCTCCTTTCATCTCATCCTTCCCTGTGATTCCTGTCTTGTAACATTGATTCCTTCCCACTGTATGATTACATTTTCATGATATCATCAGATTAGGGGATAATATTTTGCGTCTTTTGTCTTCATCATCTTTTTTTGCTGATGACTCTTCATCTTCGCATCCATGATCTTATCATTGTTATCTTTGTTCACTCTGTAACATTGTTTCTTCATTTTTCTCCGTCTTTGTCTTTTCCTTTGTCTTTATTGATGTCTTTTTGGATCTTAAAAATCGCCAAATTAACCATTAACATCAGACATCATATATATATTAGAAACAGTTGATAACTTGGTTATCTGTAAAAGGAACAAGAATGCTGAATCAAATCTATCTGACTGATAATTGTAGCTGTAAAAGAATAAAATTTTGCTAAAGAATGGAACATGTAACTTTGGAGAAACAAGAAAATGATTTAGTGAAAGAGTGTACCTGAAATTGAACAATTCAGTAACCTAAAGATAATTGAAACTTGAAAATTGTATGAAATAGATTTGAAATACACACAAAACTACAAGAAATAGTGAATGGATAGGATGGGAAAAAAAGGTAATACAATTGAAACACTAGTAACGTTAACCTTTCAAATTAATTGTTGATTTGACTTTTTTATTCTCTTTTTCCCTGGTATTGAGTTACTAATTTGTGTTTCAACAATTTGTGCAGCTAAATTTAAATTTATTCTGTATTCTAGACCTATTTAGATACACAACCAAAGAGGTTTAGTGTTAATTGAATAGACTAAAGATGATGGAATACAAAAGGAAAAAAAGAAGATTAACTAATTATGAAATAATTTGCATTTAGCATTCAATGTAAAGTTGACAATGGTGTTTGTGAAATGAATGTGCATGATAAAGGATAACTATCTGACATGGCGAAAAAAAACAAAATTGTGAGGTAAAAGATGTAGTTTTGAATTAGAATGGAGGAAAACTATGAATATGTATAAGAATAAAAACGCTACGAGAGAGTTAATAGAAGGCTCAGGATTGACAGGGTTGTTCCTATCTGAGACCATTTCAAACAAAGATCATGGAACACATTGAATACTAACTAGTTTTCCTCTTTCTAACCGTTCTGTCTTCCCATTATTATGGAAAGAAAGATAGAAGAGAAAGAGATAATACACAGCCTCTTATTGTTGTTGTTGTTTTTGGATTCCTTGTCATCTTGTTCATCGCCCTTAGCTTTGACTTCCTCAACTTCATCAGCTTGGGCTTCATCATCATCTTCATCCTTTTCATCCATTGACATATTCAGACACTTTAGTTTTTCCAAGGAAATGAAATTGTATGAGCAAATCTTGGTTAAACAGCTGATGGTTCAATGAGTTGAATTAGATTTCTTCATTATTTTCCTTTGGAATTCACTCCTTTTGTTTTAGTCTTGTCTTTACTCCTAGGCTTTCACTTCTTATTAACATTACCATTGAATATTGCATATTGTTGTTTAAGGCTGAAAAATATTAAATAGAAAGCGATATTAGAATAATAAGAATGGAAGAACGAGGAGTTTTTATTTATATTAACATAGTCATGATAATAAATTCAAAACTATGAATCAACTAACCTTATGATGATTATCAACGAAATATTCATTTGACTTTCCATTGTTCCATCATCATCTTTCAGTCTAATTTAAGAAAGTGCCTAAATTTTTGCTCAATTAAGGCTTGCATGTCAAATTAAAGAAAATTACTAAAATATATTCTATCTGATAAGAAGTTGTGCATCTAAGCATGGCGATTTGAGTTGAAATTGGTCACTCAATAAAGCCTTTTTGCAGTGGACAAAGCAAAATCTGAAAAATCTCCAGTAAATGATAATCGACTTCGTTATTTGCACAGTAAACTTCTGATAAATTAATCCCTGTAGATGAATTAGAAAAATAGGTTCAAATACCATCCAAAAAAGGTGTGAATGATGATTAACGATTAGAATTAGAAATGCAGTAAAATAGCTAACATTTAATGGCATATTGACACAAGTAGCAGTAAACGTTAAGACTTGGTTAGAGATGATATAATTAGGAGATTGAAATTTCCACTGAAAGTTAGATTAATTGAGAACAAACCAGGAAGAGATTGTGAATAATAAAAGAGGAGGGTCACAATGGTGAAGAAATAAACATGTTAAATTATCAGAATTTCATTCCATCTGGTTAGTCAACTGCATATTGACGTGACTGTGACATAAACAGATATAAAAATCAGCCTAAATCGATAGTTTCCATAATTTGTATTTACCAAGGAGAAAGAGAGATGGAATAAAAATAAAATAGGTTATTGAGCTTTATCATTCTTGAAGATATTCCATCATGTAAAAAACAGAGAAAAAAGACTTGATAAAAAGAGAAATAGACAGGCAAAAATAAAGGATAGAAAATTTCGATAATGTCATAAAGGTTGAAATGAAGGGATGCAGATGAACAATAGAGTCTCAAAATTCCCGGTTGAATCTTTGAGTTGAATTTCCTGCATTTTACATCATTTTGTCATCCAATGAAGATACAAACGCCGCTTAACTAAAATAAGCTTGAGGTGAAACTCAAAGTGATTGACTAGTTCTCGATAAAAGACATTTCAACGTTTGATCTGATGTAAAACAAGAATAAAATGTATTCACAATGTGTGTAAATGTTTCAAATCACACTGAAAATACAAAGGAAAACCGGCAAAATCCAAACAGAAAAAAAGGAACCACTTCTCATTGAAACATTTATACTGGCAAAAAACTGATTCAGTGATGCAGATGAAAGGCAATCGTCATTATGACCACGTTTATTATTGATGATGAATAACCCCACCTAGTTAATCCAAGTTAATCGACAGCTTTTGAACAATTGCATGGTTGATGCAGCAAAGAGACAAAACACAAACAGAATTGATGAGAAAGATTGTTACCAAGGGGTGTCAATAAGGCCAACTCTTACAGAAGATAAATTTGATTATTCTGTCCACCCAAGGTTGAATGAGAACAGCAAAAAAAACGTTCAAACACATGAAGATGAAATGGAGAAAATGAAACAAAAGAAAGGAAAATGGAGGCACAGAAAAAAAAATTACTGAAAGTAAAGTGATAGGTTTAATGTTATAACAGTTGAAAAGCTCAACGGTTAAAAGTAATATCTTTCATCTTAAATCTTCTGTTATTGCAGACGATGAGTTTGAGTAATCAAACAGTCAAAGGATAGGAGGATGTATGGTTATGTTATGGTTAAGGAATACAAAGACAAAATTGATATGTAGACAACCAACAGACGATTTAGACATGTTTGGATGGTCAAGAAGCAATAATCAGAAACAATTCACATCATGGCAGTTTTGTTTGTCTACACTTGGCAAGATATAACATTTCATTTCTATTAATAAGTTGAAAATAGAAAGCAAAATTAAACAGAAAAAGAGTTGACCGAAAAAACAATGAGAATAAACGACTTAAACAATTCACACCTGATCTCATTTCAACTGTTAACCAATGAAATCTCTTCAAATTATGGCGTCACAAGAACATCAAGTTTAACGGAAAAATTATGTTAATGCAAAATGAAATGAATAATTCGTGTCAAAAATTAACCTTAAGTGTTAATTGAACCCTTTTTTTCCGTCTCTGATCATTTTCTGTGACGCTTAATGCATCAAAGTTTCCCCTTGTGAAAGATAACCATTAAATCTTTGAGGTTAATTAGTGTTAACATCATTTTTTTACCCAAAAAGCTGTTTTGTTTGAACTTATTATACAACTCGTCTGGATTTATGCTGATACTGTTTAGTTGATGTTTAATTAATCAAGACAATATTCTTGATAATCACAGGATATAATTGGGTTCGTTCCTAATTCCGTTTAAGTCAATTGTCTCGTTTTTGTGTTTCTGTTTAACACTTTTTTACTAACATTTCTCTCTTTTTTTCTAGATTTTTTTCACAGCAAAAATTATCCATCGTTGCTTGTTCAGTAAAGATTTTTATCAACCGTGTTTGCAGATTTTCAATGTCTATTGTCACGCAATGGTCAGAAGATAATAAATTGCCTGTTGTTCAATATGAGTTTGAATCTCCAGTATTAATTATCCTTTCAATTTGTTAAACAGAAGATTGTTCATATCACTAAAGGACACTGAATCATCACTTTTTGCTTCATGACAAAAGTCCCTGTCTTTTCTCAACGTTTTAACTCACTAACAATATCAACATAGTGGAACCTCATCATTATAATCAGCTTTGTCTGATTTTTCTAAGGATTCTTTCCTTTATCTTTGTCTCCTGATTGCTGATAATGACAGTTTTATACATAAAGTCTAAAATGATCAATCCTCATTGAGGATGGATTCGCTTTCAACTCATCATCATTATCACTGCTGTTACCCTCTAACTTCTTCCTGTCACCCCATGGACCAAATGTGGAAAAAGGATTTCAATGGTTTATCATGCAAATGTCTCCTTTTGTTCCCAGAATTGACATGATATCAAGGTCGATGATCAGAACTACAGTTTACCATTTAACACAGGAGTCGACATGGCATCTCAAGAAAAGACCTAAACAATAAAAGATATAAGAACCTGAAAAGACCATGATCAAGTGAGAACAACAAAAATCTTTTTTTGTGTTACGGTGAACTTATCAAAATCTCTTCAACGTCCATTAACAATATTGCCAGAGATAAAAAGGGTTGTTGGTTACTGTTTAGGATCCATGGAGAAATGGAAGTAAAAAATCACCCAAAAAGTAGGATGGAAAGAAGAAGAAGAAAAAAATGAAGACAGACAACTGAAAAAAAAGGAAGATGAAAAAGTTCGTTTTTTTGTTTCCTGTTCATGTGCTGTGAGTTATATTGTTGTTGTTGGGATCATTTTTGCTGATGGTAAACTCTTGTATACAATTTACTTTTATGGTGATTAACCGTACAACAATGTATTTTCACCAACAAACAAACAACCAAGCAACAACATGAAAAGAGGAGCAATTTGATACTGATGTCTTTTTTTATACTTTTGGGTGAACATGAGTTCGGAGAAAAGCAAATCTCATGCCTATCAGTTTGTTCAAGTCAATCTTTCATAATCAAGTAACCAGTTTACGATCATTGTCCATTGGTAACAAAACAACATCATTTCATCATTTAATTTAATGGTTTTTTACTACCATCAACAGCCAGCACTCTTGGTTATTCAATGATTGTCAAAAAAAAGGAAGAAGAAGAATGATCCTGAATACACATTTGTTATATAAATCTGATCAATCTAACCAGGTAAACAAAAGCATGACATCTACTTTTTAAGCAGCTATTATAAGCAACTCAATTATATTCTCTAATTACAGAATGGCAACAATTTTCGTTTCAACACTGATCTTGGATTGGCATTTCTCAATTATTGATGATGCTTGAACAAACTCAATCAGTTATTCAACCAGCATGACAAAGATTGCAAGTTAAATTATTGGATTTGGAGGATACACCAAGGAAGAAAGATGCTGATAGGATATAATAGCTGGACATTTAGGAAAGCCATGCATTTAAATCTGATTAGTTGATGGAAGCAAATATTCAACTTTAGCCTTTAACAAGATGGTGAAGGAAGGAAAGTTGTAAGCAAAGAAAAATGACTCGTTATTAATTAATGATCAATCATTTGATGTGAAATTTGAGCTTTTACAGGAATATAAAAGTTCACAGCTAAATATTGGAACAAGGCAAGAAAATGTCTCAACCAAAGGTGTAAATATTTTCATTCTCAACCTTTTTCCCCCTTAATTGATAAAGACAAGGTGAAGGAACGATATTTATATTTATATATTTATTTATGGGTTCCCGTTTCATGTCAAGTTGAGTAAATGAAATGCTAGGGGAGCAAAATCAGGTTAAGACCAAGAAAATCATGTACACACACATATATACATAATAGTTGTATTATAATGTAATAGTGTTTGCTTTGCAAGTTTTACGTAACAAGTATTCAGTAAAGTAAAGAATGGATAAGCAAGATGATGAGGAAGAAAATTTGCACCAAAATTTGATTCCTTAAGTAAGGTAGGGAAGAGGAAAGATTGGATAAAAATTGGATTCTCTTTTAAAAAAAGTCATGTTGAAGGAATTTTCTTATTTTACCTTTTTACCATTGTGATGTATTAAAAGCAGGATCAATGTAAAGGTTGAACATGAATGTAGTTAGATTGATGGTCTCAATGAAAGGTTGATTGAATGAACGATTGTAAATCTAAACCTAATATCTAACAATGATTAAGAGGGTTCTCTTTATCATCATCTTAAGCTTCACTGACTGAATATTCAATCAATAATATTGTTACTTGCATTGAATGTTTATGAGCTAGAAGTACATAAAAAAGCTAACAATAATAACCATTATGATATAAATATTAATGCAAAGTATAAACAATTTAAACAAAGTTATCAACTTTCGCTTGAATTGACAATGAAAAAGGAGTTGAATGAAAGTAAAATGAATCAAAAATACAATCCTCATTCATTCAGGCTAATTAAACATTAAGAATCGAGAAATCTCGAGAAGTAAATAAAGAAAGATTAAATGAGTGAAATATTAATGATCATCTTAATTAACCTGGTAAAACAAACCAACAGAAATTTCAAGACTATTTTCCTATTGCAAATTTCAATCTATTGATCCGGTGTACAAGATTTTTGACAGATTCAGGACAAACAATCAATGTTTCAGTGTAAGAATAGACTATTTCCCAATATATAATTAGTTTTGTCACGTAAATAATTTTCATTATCATAACAATATTTTTCTTTGTATTCAATAACAATCTGAAATTTCATTTGAATCAAATTTCCATCTAACGTTTTCGTTTGTTTTGTTTTACAGATAAATGCAAGATTCAAAATGTATTCAGGAAAAAATACCAACTTGGAAAAGATGTAAGGATAGAATCAAGGAAAAATAGGAAACCAATGTAATGCAATAAGTTGAAAGTGGAAACTGGAAATTCAACTAACAATATCATCTGAAGACAACATGATTTATCTACTTTCTTGAAGCTTAATTTTAAAACGGAAGTTATTTGCTCTACTTTTTGGACTTACACTTTGTTGCCAACATTTTGAATGTCACAAAGAACCATCATGAACACCATCAACATCACCATTAAACTGGTAATGTCAACAATCACAATGTTACCATCATTTGTTTTCCATTTGGTTTCCAAGAAAATTACTTGAACAAATTTTCGCCAACCCAAATGTTAAGGTAACCCAAGACACAAGGACAGCAAAAGGTTAATATCTAAACCCCAAAATAATGTATTTATTAATAATCTGCTAATAATTGACCTTTTCTTGTTCATCTTTCCTAGGTAGCCATAACGTTGGAAAAGCAACTTGCAGAAGGAAAGGAGAAAAATGTAAACAAAGTTATTCAAAGTTATCCAATAAAAGCACAACGGTCAATTAGACTCAAGGGATTTTCCCTCCCAGGCTCAATTACAAAGGGTATTATTTGTATATTAAAAAGCCGAGGAAAGACCAGGAAAAGATGCTGAGAAGAAAAGAAGAAGAAGAAGATGGAGAAGAAAAGGATATCCATCAAATAAATATCCGGAATAAAGATGATAACCAAAAATGGACAAGTATCATGTTCATCAACTTCATCAACATCATCCTTCATCTTCATCTTTTCAACGATTTCCTCTTTTTTTTGCTGCTTTTCATTTTTTTCTTCCTTCTCTCCTCGTTTTGCTTTGCTTGCTTGCTTTGCTTACTTGCTGTTGATCAGTTTTATTGATAAAACCTTCATTGTTTACTCTAAATTCAAAACTCTATTTACTTGTGATTACAGCAATCATATTGATTAGCCTTTGATCATTGATTGAACTCTTTTCTTTTTACGGCTGGTCATCACCATGTTAACTCAACATCATCCTCGTCATATTGAATAGTTTATTTGATTGGCAATCTATTCTGATCAAGCAAACAAACAAAACAAGGAAACTGATAAACAAAATGGGAATAACAATAACTTCAGTTGAAACAGCTTTCCACTCCATTTAATTTATTGATTAGGATTACTTTACGATTTGTGTTTGGAATCAACAATATTCTGTCTCGATTTTAATCAGAAATAGCAGGAATGGAGAAAAGAGAAGAAATATTTCCCTCTATTATTGTCAGTATTATTAACTCTATTATAATGTTCATGATAACGATGATTATTATTATTAAATTAATAGTTGAGGATGCTTGGAACTGACAAATGTTTGAAGAAGGCAGAAAAAAAAGAGAAAAATGAATCAACTATTTGAAGTTCACGATTAATATTATAATCATAATAATAATAATAATACTGGTAATAAGAGGATAATAATGTATTGTTATCGTTATCATATTAGTGTTTAAACAAACTCAATAGATTATTATATGAATAACTTTTCATATCAAAAAAAAGTATAATAGAACGTTTCATTTTAGATTTTCAAATTTTGTCTGAAACAAAATGTTATAAAATATTCCAGTTAACATGAACATTGATAAAGGTTATTATCAAAATCAGTAAACCGAATTGATAATTACCTTTTCATCGTAATCAGTTTGTTAATGATCAATCCTTGGTTTGCAAATAACATTGAAAAGACATTTTCAAATTCAAAAGGATTCACATTCATTTCTTAATGGTTTATCAGCTGAAACAATATTTTCATCATTACATTGACAATGAAAAAAAATCAATTATATTTTCTGGTTCTTTTTTTTCAGACATTTTCCGATATTTTGGCGATACAATGGTGAGAGTTGATGAAAAACTGATATTTCAATCAAATGGATGGTAATTTTAAGTGGTAATGATGGTTAAAACAAAAGCTGGTTAACAAATTGTTGATGACGATTGAAACCTGTCACGCAATATGCTGGTTAATAATGATATTTGGTTATCGTTATCATCATAATGATCATCATTTAGAAGTCCCAGTTTTTTCATCAAAATAACGATTGTTCAAAGACTCATTGGGACAAAGTTTACAATTACAAGACAAAACCAAAAATGTGTATTCCCAACAATTGATCATCATCATCATCATCTTTATCATCGTGTCATTTCATTCAATCTATTTTCCCTGTAATCATCCATCTCGATCGATCATTCTGATGATTTGTTTATATCAGTTGAAATGGACAGTCAATAAATCATGATCATTTCTAGATGAATATTTGAAAGCGAGAAACACAAGCAAAAACAATGTTGGACATTTACATTCATTGGGTGTGAAACCTAATTTGGTAAATCCTGATTACAATCATCATGAAACCAGTTTTTTTGATGACAACTGCTTATAGTTTATTGCTGTGGACGTTATTTGGGTTCAACCTTTACCCATCTCTATAGTGGACTGTAATTGAAAATCAACATCACCAGCAATCCATTTACTGTACTTTTTATTGCATCCAAATCAATGGCTGATCATTGACTATTGACAATTACCAAAGACTATTTACAGAATCAACTCTAGTAATTGTTGCACATGGTAACGAGCAATTTATAGCTGAAAAAAAGAAATCAGTTTGACCAGCTCTTAATGTCCAAATCAAAGGTTGCTTCAATGTAAATGTCCAATGTCAGCTAATGTTAAATTTACTATCATTATCAGCCAATCCGATTTGTAAATCACTCCTTTGCTTAATCAGTAAATGGTTGTTACTTTAAGACAAAGAGTAAAGAAGAAGAGACTGCGATGAATAAAATACCGATTTGTTGCTGTATAATAGCACTGGTGGTGCTAGTAGTAAGAAACACTTTCTTTTCTCTTTCCAAGTTAAATAATTATCAATTTTTTTAAATTGATTAAATGTGCCATCTTCTAGTCATTACAGCTATAAATGGTCTTCATTATCGTCCACAGCATGAACCACGTCAATATTCTGGGTATCATATAATTACAACATTACCCGATGGAGAAACGCATTATTCTCGATCGCACATTTTGAATGACACTGGTTATAGTGAACATCTTTACGCAAAACCACCCACGTATGGACGCTCTGGCCACTCAGCTCTCTTCACCCCCAGATACTTATTAATCACGGATACTCACCCTATGTTCGAAGGAATATTGGACGCAGGACCCAAAATTTACTCATCATTGACGCTATAAAAGTTTACCACCTACCACTGCATGTAGCCACGATTGCAACCAGCAATGGCCACTCGATTGACCACCTTCAATTTCGGTC